ATTGCTTTGCTTAAGTACTCCAATATGTGACGTTTTCAGTGTCAACAATTCAATAATGAAAATTTCTCAAAATGTATTTAAAATTGTTGTGTCTATCTTATGATTTAACTGGTTCGATTCAATGTGATATGTTAGAAGTCAAACCGGAAACTGTCTTTTCTTCATTTTCCGAGCCGAACTGGAACTGGAAAACTCGACCTATAACTCCTAATTGCTGTGAACTAGTTAAAAAAAGAACATACTTCTTTATCCATATTGCGTATTTGGCCAGAACGTAATATATTCTTTTTGTTTGCAAACAATTCCTATAGAATTGATATAAAAAATTGTTTTGATTTCATTGATGTCATCCCTTCGCAAGTCTGATCCTGTTAGTGTAAATGTGTATCGAACTCTTGCCTTCTATGCTAGTATTAGTGTCAATTGTTGCCCGTTCAGTTGACTATTAATAGAATTATCGATACTGCAACAATGTTCATGAGATCTTCTCCACGTATTATTGCGCTAGGATACTCACGTACTCACATTTTCACAGAAAAAGACACACTTTCTACGAGTTATTTAATTCAAACAGAATCGCTTTAGATTCTTCTGATTGTTCTTAGTATTGCTCTTTTTTTTCAAACATTTACAAAATTCATATGTGTACACGGACTTATATATGAAAGATAAAAGATATGACAAATACAGCAATAGCTGCCATGTGATCAATACTAAGATTTGTAAAATATTCTCTTTCAATATGAAATAGTAGTTTTTAACAATATTTGCTTATAGCAACTCATAAAAAAATTACATTCTTTACAGTCTAGTAAAACCTATGTCAAGAATAAAATCTTTTTATAATGCATTATTGAGCTGTATATATGTCCTTATCAATCAAAGGCCATACTTCTTATTTTATAATCATTCTCAGCTGTATAAAAACTGAGTAGAATACTGTCGTTTTTCCTACATCGATTGTTTTCAAGTTTTATGACATCGCCAGTTTTATCATAAATCGAAGCTCGCAACAAATACGTTTTTAAATAAAATTGTGCATCAACTCACATTTACCTGTTTCATTTACAGAATGAAGACGACGATGAAATATACCAATAAAGATTTCGAGCTATCGTTATGGCAATGCTTCGCAGTTATTCTTATAGCCATAGCCTGTCTATTCGCTATAACACCATTGGTCGTTCGAAATCGATCGAATAAATGTGTTATCGTTCAAGTAGAAGATTCAATTAAACCTCAGTCTCAAAATGTCGAGGCTTCATCGGATAATCATAGAAGATATGGTCGGGACGTTAGTTCTAATGATCAATGTAGTATTATTCCACCAATGTGTAATGTTCAAACAACAATGACTACAAAAACAACTAGAACTCCTGTTCCTACTGTATCGGTAACACGACCAGTTATCACTAGTTTTTCTACATCACCTCGACCAACTACAATAGATCCATGGGCTAATATTTCTCGACCTTATAACTCATGGCGTTTACCAAGCTTTGCAAAACCAATTGATTATAAATTACATATTTCTTGCCCGCATTGTTTTACATGGATAGACGAGTTACCTGTAACTTTTTTCTATGGAAAATTATCGATTCGTATTGATGTTACAAATGCAACAGATTTTCTTGTACTTCATGCTAAAAATCTCAATATAACAGAAGCAAAATTAACAAGTGGTGGTGGAGGCATGGCAACAGTTACATATTTACCAGATCATGAAATGGTGTACCTAGGTTTTGTCGCGTCACCTATTGCTGTTGGTGAAGTTACTCTTGAAATCGATTACAGAGGAGTGTTGAACGAACGAGATAATACTGGATTTTATCGTGAATTCTTCTGGAAAGCTATTGGTGAATTAAGCTAGTAACTCAATTTAATAATTAATAAAATTCTATTCTATTCATCGAAATATATTTTCATTCTCTAGTTTATTAGCTGGCAATTTTCAACCAATATATGCACGAAAAGGTAGAGACCAAGAAACCACTTTCTATAGATCACATACCAGCAATTGAACTCTTATATTTTTCTTCAAAGCTTTTCCATGTTTTGATGAACCAAATATGCAAGCAACATTTTCATTAACACTTGAACATTCAGAAAATGAAACTATTGCATTATCAAATACTGCTGCCTCGGTAAGATTATGATTGATCTATAAAAAAAATAGAGATAACAAGAACTGTTTCATTTTCATAGTCACAAAATGACTCAACGACCACATTTACAGCAACACCATATCTTAGTACGCAATCATTTTCGTGGGCTCTTTTACCTAAAGATGAATTTAATTCAGTAACAAAAACTATTGGTGCTACCGAAGTAAAGAATTTTATTGATAAATATTTTAGAATTTAAGAAAAATATCATTTTTAGGTTAATATTTGGATTCGACCAGAATTACTTGGTCCATCGAATGAAAATTTAACCCCAACATTTGACGTGATTGACAAGACTTTCACATTTTTGAAAGATTATCTTAATATAGTAGATACAGATTTTCCAGCAAAACTAGGTAATTCAATGGAATTTTCTTTCTCGAAAGACTAAAATACATATGATCTTTTGTTGGTATGCATATGAAAAACTTACGATATAAAAAGAAATCGTCTGTGATGTTTAAGTAGACTCTACTGATATTTTAGTATGAATAATACAGATGCATTACTAGAAAAAAACCTAATTTCAATTTCAATACAAAACTAAATCGTATTCAAAATCTTAATTTTTATCTATTGAAAAACATCGGAAGTGTGTGTGTTAGGCTCAACAAAAAATGTTTCAAAAAACCCATTATTTTTTGTTCATGATGGAAGTTATCTGAATAATTATGTTCTATGTAGATATAATTGGTGTGCCTGATTTGACGCTCGATGAAAAAGCTTCGGTATCATATGGCCTTTTAACATTTCGTGAAGAATTTCTCAGTGCTGACACAAGTTTAGATTCTGCCGAACGACTACAAACAAGAACAAAAGTCATTGTTGAACATATTATTCAACTTGTAAGAAAAGAAAAATATTTATTTTGTTAAAATAATTTTTATGTTTTTTTGTTAATTTAGTGGTTTTCAAAAACTGATTGGTGGGATAGTATTTGGTTTGGCAAATCATTATCATCATTTCTTGCTTATAAAATGATCGAAGCAAATTATCCAGACTTTAAATTAGTAAGCTATTAGTTTATTATTATTTTCTTTCTTTGATATCTATATATCTCTATATCATATATGCGATTTAGATGGAACAATTTCCCGTTCGAGAAATCGTTCCATTAATGATGGACGATTTTAAACCTAATATATGGCCTGTATCAAATAAAAATTTATCAACTAATGAACAAATTCTTGATTATTTATCAATAAGTATCTACAGTAAAGGAGCTTCTTTACTTCGTCTACTTGAGCATATTGTTGGTGATGATGCATTTCAATCGGCTGTTAGTCAGGTCGTTTCAATCAATGATACATCAAATATATTGAACACGTTCTATTCAAATTTTGATTTTAATGAAGCATTAAATACAACCGTAACTGCAGAAGAATTTCTTCGTTCATGGCTTGAAGAAAGAAACTATCCAATCGTAAATGTAAATTTCATGCCAGGCAATGAATCTACAACAGTTATTTTTCGTCAAACACGTTATATTGGCTCGTTTGCATTAGATAATAGTTTATCGGATCCAGATTATGCTTGGAAAATTTTTGTGGAATGTGATTTAGGTGGTTCAAATACTGATGGTAATTGGAATTTAACTACTAATAATGCTAAATCAAAGTTAAAATTTTTGTTTGACACATCAAGTTATACCGTTGAGATGCCCAATGAAAATTATTTATGGATCAAATGTAATAAAGATTTTTATTCATTTCAAGTTACCGAATATTTGTCAGTCGAAGATAAGATTCTTGAAATATGGCAACATTTTGAAACATTATTTAATGAAGTAGGCTATTTGGTTTTCTTTATTTTTGTTTTAAATTAAACTCTTTCTTTTCTATTATGAAAATAGGATCTGTTATCAAATAATGATAAAGCTGATATACTCAATAGTGCGCTTATTCTTCCACACGGTGGTGAATATGTTGATTATGATACAACAATCGCTCTTATACAAGCAATGCATAATAACCCAGTGCCTTTGTATACAGCTTGGTCTGTATTTGTATGGCATTGGAATTATTTAATGGGCGTCGAAGAGCATTCAAGATATTTTTGGAATTTTAAAGTATTCAAAAAGAATCTTTGTTACTTTCAGATATTGAATATATCTCTAACTTTTATTCTAGCGATTTGCAACTGATACGATTTTGGCCCTTTACGAATACAACATTGATAATGTCGTCTCTGTCGGAACAAATCATCAAGAAAGGTAAAAAAACAATAATTTCTAGTTTTAATTGTCTTACTAAGAATTTATCAGTTTTCCTACCTCAATATATATTAATCTTCATAAAATAAATATGTTTAGATTACTAAAATCAATGTTTTTCGAATTATTGTGTCGTGTTCAAAATACTGATGCATTATACAAAGCTACTGACCTATTCGGTCTTCTTCCAGAAAGCTATTTCTTTAATTCAACTGGTAATACAAAGTATGTTTCTTTTTATTTCTTTGCAAATCATCATCGTTTTCTCATGTTAATTATTTGAATTATTATTAGTGTTTCTCCTGAATTCTTATCAACAGTTCTTTATTATCATATACAAAATGCAAATGACATAGACGAATGGGAATATTTATGGAATAATTTCACTGAAAATGTAAATCTAACAGCACAACAACGTACTACATTTCTACGAGCTCTCTGTTCTGCAAAAGAAATTTGGCGTCTTAAATAGTAAATTTCTTTTTGTTTAGTGTTCTTACCTGTTTTGAAATTAAAATTTAGTTTATTGGAAACTGCTTCTGATTTTGACGCTGATATAATAGAAGGACAAGAATATTTCAATATCATTATTGCTATTAGTCAAAATCCAAATGGACGGGATCTTGCTTGGAATTTTTATCGTCATAATTATGAGATTTTACTCGATCGGTATAAGAAATATTCTCGAACAAAAAAAACAAAAAAGTCATGTTTCTTTTACTGTGTATAGATTTGGTACATCTAATCGATTGTTCAATCAATTAATTACAAATATTGCTCAATCATTTGAAAATCAATATTATTACTTTGAGGTTAATTTTTTTCCATATATGGTTTAAAGAATATTATAGCTGCTTTTTTTTGTCTTTGCAGATGATTAATTTTGTCGATCGATATCCAAGTTCGTCACAAAATCAACAATTAGCAATTGACCAAATTCTAGTAAATTTTGAATGGTTCATCGACGGTTTCGCTGATACTCTTGATAAAGCTATATCAGCTGTTAACAAGGCTGTCTCAAAGAAAGGAAATTAATTAATTAAAGAGAAAATATTTGACATTTCTAAATTAAATCAATCATTTTTTTATCTACTCTTTTTCTTTAAATATTTCTAGAAGGAAATAAATTTTATTTTATTTCCAAGAATTATATCTATTCATTTGTTTGGTTGAGTTTTCATAATGTTTATCTATGTCAATAGTACTAATTATGAGAAGAATAATCTATCATCATGACGATAAATATTAATTTCTATATGATTCTAGTGCATAGAAACTATCTAAGAAGTATCAAGTAGGTTATTTTATCAATTCTTTTAATTTATTTGACTGAAATAATTCAGCTATCATCATTGTGATATAAAAACAAAACAAAAAGAAGGAGAAGGAGAACTAATCGAAATACCAGATGAAAGTAATTACCCGTAGCACTCTCAATCGAATGATATTTATCTCTTATTAACAGTGTCTTACTGTCTAGAAGTAAATCGAGGTCAGTAACGAAGATATATATCGTAGCGAAAAGGCCTTGTTTGCATTTCTTCTCGATATTCGGTGCATCTATATGTTAATGCAACTGTTATTTATTCAAAAGGTTTCAACGATAGAATAACAACGATAGTAACAGCTGTCAATGATCATTATCTATCATGTGAGCTATGAAATATGATGGGTAACGATACCATAAGTGATTTTGACCTAGGTCATATCAGATAGAGAAGGAAATAAAAGAAGTACATTCATTATACATTACATTTTACTGTTTGACAATGACATGGATTAGAGTTAGTGTTCTATATTGTTATATACCATTGATCACTGTTTGTTTACTTGCTCGTACAGTGCCTGATAATATAACAGAAGCTATTACACTTGCTACACAATCAGATACATCAACGACTACTACTACTAAAAGTGTCGTTCAATCGACATGTATTGAAGACGAATGTAATCCACGTTTATTATCACATTTAGAAGTTCATAATTATGAATTAGAATATATCTATGCGAATATCAATCACACTCTAGTTCAAGGATATGTTACAATTAATTTTACGTTGAAACAACCAATTAAACAACTGATTTATCATGCAAAATTCATGGTTCAACTTGATGAACCAGCACTATTTGAAGATGGTGTTAATCGTCTTGTTGCAATGCGAACTTATCCAACCAACGATTATATTAGTCTACGTCGTATGTCAGACAACTCTTCGTTTGCACCAAATCGATACATTTTAAAACAAAAATTTGTTGTCAGTTTAATTTATGGTAATATAGGTTTTTATCAAAGCTTGTATAACGATGGTAATGGAACAATACGGTATAGATTCTTTAGCGGAGATGTTCAAGGTGTCATATATATATATTTGTTTTTCATTTAGAAAATTATTAGCATCAAAATTTCAACCGACCGATGCTAGAAAAGCGTTTCCTTGTTTCGATGAACCACAACTCAAAGCAACCTTTAAAATTAGTATTGTCCATCCGCTGGATACTATTGCCATTGCAAATTTTCCCAGCGTATGCTTTCCCAAAAATATGAATATATGTATGAAGTTCATTATTGTCTTATAATATTAGATTGAAGAAACAATCGAAAATGGTTTACGTCGAACAAAATTTACTGAAACATTTCGTATGAGTACTTATCTTGCTGCTTGGGCTGTTCTTCCAGATACGTATGGGCAACATGCCAGCGAACAGGAAGAACCAAAAGTATATATATATATATATAGGGATAGCTTTGAAATAATTTAAGGATGATTTATCTATTATAGATAACTATATGGACACGTCGTGAACCTATAGAGAATGGTCATACTGCATTAGCACTTGAAATAGCTTTGAATTCTGTCGCATTTTTTACTGATTATTTTAATACGTCTGAACCTGTCACACCTAAAATTGGTAACTATGCCTAATTTATTTATAAATATTCTAATTTAAAGTCACCCCAATAAGATCTCCTGGCTGTACCCGATTTTGCATCGGGTGCCATGGAAAATTGGGGTTTAGTATCATTTCGTGAAGATCGACTAATGTTTAATGAAAAAATTGCATCTATAATTCAAAAACAACAATTAGCAGAAACAATGGCACATGAAATTGCTCATTTTTGTAAGCTTATCTAATGAACAAAACAAATTTGAGATATTAAAATAATGCTATTATAGGGTTTGGTAATTATGTTACATGTAAATGGTGGGATGATTTATGGTTAAATGAAGCTATGGCTACTTGGCTTTCATATAAACCATTTTCAGTTAAATATCCAGATTGGAATATGGTAGAATAAGGCTTTGCTATTTTTAAACTAAAATTAACAAATATTTTACTTCTTTTTTTTTTCTCTTTCTCTCTCAAGGAATTACAAGCATTAACTGAAGAAGTCATGCCTGTTATGTGGGATGATGCAAAACCATCGTCGCATCCAATTATTGTTGCAAATGTTACAACTGCTGCTGATATAACAAGTTTATTTGATTCAATAACATATTCGAAAGGTGCAAGTATATTACGTATGTTAGAAAGAATCGTTGGTTCAAATACATTTCGTGATGGACTAAGAGATTATTTAAAAGTAAATGCATTTGATATTGGTGATCCAACTATATTTTATAATAAATTATTTACAAATGTTAGTGGAGAGAAATTTATGAAAAATTGGCTTGAAGAAATGAATTATCCGATTTTAAATGTTCATTTAAACGTTAATAATAATGGTACATATGTTACATTTAATCAATCGCGTTTTATTATTTCAAATGCTCTTGATTCATCAAATCTAACAAGTGATTACCGATGGATGATTAGTGTTCAATGTATTTTAGGTACAATTATTTGTATTAAAGTCGATTTTCAAAAACTAAGATTTTCTTTTACATAGGTGGTAATAGTTCTGATGCTGATATAACAGCTAATCTAGATGATGATACAATCGATTTTATTCTTGAGACAGAAAGAGAAACTCAATATTTACCAGGCAAATTTTATACATGGATAAAATGTAATCGAAACTTTCAAGGTTTTTACGTCACAAAATATACATCAGATTTATCAACAGCATCAATGTGGCAACATTTTTCATCTATATTAGAAGCACAGCCGAAAGTAAGCTTTAACTGAAACCTATTCTTGTATCAACAGTTTGTTGTTGTTGTTGTTGTTGTTTTTTTTCAATTTGAAAAAATAGTTATTTTCCGATGAAGATAAAGTGAATTTACTTCAGGATGCATTTTTACTTGCTTATAAAGGTTTAATCGATTACATTGAACCATTACGTATACTAACTTCATTAGTAAAAGTGAATAGTAATCAATTTGTTATATGGCGTACTTTCCAATGGCATTGGGATTTAGTAACTGATTTAATTGAACATTTACCAAATACATGGACAAAATTTAAAGTTAGAAAACATAAAGTTTTTGTTACGCGTTTCTTAAATTTATTTTTAGGATTTTGCAATTCAACAAATCTTATCATCGGGCATCACAGTAGATGATATTCTGCAAATAAACTCAACAGATGATCATAACTCAAAGTAGGATGTCGGAAAGTTTCCTGTTTTTGAACTATATGAACAATTGAGTCTATGGTTATTTAATAGATTATTAAAAGGCTTACAATTTTCATTTCTTTGTCGAATGGATCATAAAGAGGCTATTGAAAAAGCGAGCGCATTATTCAGATCGATACCTGTCGAATATTTTAATGATAGTAATGTAGATATCAAGTAATTATACAAATCAAGAATACTAATATTAATCGATTTCTTTTTATTGGATTTCATTGTTTTAGTGTTGGTGCAGATTTCTTATCAGCAGTTTATATATGTCACTTAAAGAATGACGATAATGAAACTGATTGGAAAATGATGTATAATTATTACAAAACAGCAGTATCACCACAAGAACAAACACGTGCTCTTGTTGCAATTAGTTCAACTAATAATAAAGATCGATTAAATCAGTAGGAAAACAAGCAATTTGTAGAGGAATTTTTAGAAGATTTTCTTTATTTCTGTTTTGCAAATAGATTACTTTATGAAGGATTAAATACTGGTCCAAACACAATAAAAAGACAAGACTTTTTTGCTATGATAGCTTACATGAGTCATACTCTAGTCGGACGAGAAACAGCGTGGACATTTTATAAAAATAACTTTCGAAAACTTGTGAGTATGTAAGTATTTTAAAACAAAAAGCAAATGTTGCTATTGAAGAATAAAACTGTTTTCTATTTTTTAGTTATACACTTGAAAATCGTCGATTAGGTACAGCTATTCATTCAATAGCACGTTCATTTGAAAATGAATCATATCTTGAAGAAGTATGTCATTTACTTGAAGGAAAAAAATCATTTTCTTTTAATTATCGTTTTAGATGAATCAATTGTTTGAACTTTATCCAAATGCTGGTGCTGGAGCATCACCACGTAAACAAGCGATTGATCAAGTAAATATGAATATTGAATGGATCAAAACAAGAGAACAAAATCTAGTCAATGCACTGGAAACAATATCTTCATAATAATTATTTATTTGTCCTGTAGATTTTTAGTTCTTTGTATGATTTTCATGCAGTGCTGTTTTTTTTTTATTGATTTAACTTCATAGTTGAGAACAATAAAAATCTAAAAATATGGTCATTTTTCGAAAAATTTCGATCGTATTTGATATTGCAATTATGTTGTTCAGAATCTTCATGTGATCTTTCGTTCACTCTAACGATTTCGAAGTGAAAACTGTTGTTTTATTAGATATGATAAGAACTAATTTGTTGGTGATAAGCTAATTAAGATGAGGTCCTGGATATATTTATCTGTAGAAATTTAAAAACAAATGACTGATTACCTTTATAAATTTATGATTCTCCATATCGTTATGTACAATGATAGTAGAAAAAGGCCACCCGTAGAATCCATTGAGCTTTATTGGTCTACTCTAAAATATTTTCCAAAAAAATGGTTTAAACAATTTGACTAGACAGCAATTGATCTAGATCCTAAATATTACGGAATTCAGTGCTAGTTATAACTGTAAATTTTCGCAAAAGAACATCATACCATAAGATAGAACTAATTATTCGCTATTCAACTGGTTATATTTCACCGAGACTAATTTTGTTTATTAGTTTTAATAGTTGGATATTAAATAATTAACCGATCAAAGTAATGATATCATGAAGCAAGTTCTTACAATACGTATCAATCACTTGCAACAGAACTATGGTAGAGTGTACAATTTTTTCGTGATCGTTTCAAAGGAACCATTTCTGTCGTATTATGAATTAAAGATTAGCTATTGTTGCAAAAACAGATTGCAAGAAACTCAATCTTGTCAGGTGTCTTTATGAAAAGTAGTGAGCACACTGATAAATTCTTATGCGTCATCAACACTAGACGCAATCGTGTATATAGCAAAGAAAAATCATTTGTCTATTGGCAGCTCAAAGAAGTAGAATTCGGCAAGGCTTATTAGGGTTTCGATCACGTTATTTTTTAAATATGAAAAGAAATTCTACTAATAATGGATTTTTTTCACTGGGAATATTAATCTTTCGAGTATTCCAGCACGAACCCTTAGCGTATTACATCTAGTTGTGAAATCTTTCTAATTCAATTATTTTTCTCTTCTTTTATCGTCTACTATTCTTGTGATTCTTAAAGTCAATATGACCATTTGATATTGGTAAAACATTGTTGTGGTTTGAATAATATTTTTTTAGCATGTCTCTCTTAAGAATTTCTATTACGCATCATCAATAGAAGATGTTTTACTGCGCAATTTTTTTCAACGTTTTTCATGTTTCTTTTTTCCCCAACGCTAAAAATAGAACACATTCACTCATTATTGACATAGACAAATTCTTCGACATATATATGCGTTTTAAGCTACTATTATACATTTTTCTTTCTTCCGTTAGGACAACTATGACAAGCATGATTCATGTGAAATTTAATGTGTCGTTTGATTCACTATTTGAGCTACAAACAATAGAAAGAAAACAAACGCTGTGAAATTACATTATTTGACAATACCACACTGGGAATTTTTACTCGTTGGTAGAGGGACAAAAACCACTACGTGTACCTCATGAATACATTCATGTTTCTTCAACTACAATTATATTTCTTCCTTGATACGCTTTATAAAAGAGATTTACGCAGAAAGAAATTTATTATTATTTAAGATATTTTTTCATCTTCAAATATGGATCAGCTGGTATATTGTGAATTCAAACATATCGCATCGAAAAGAGACGGTAATCAAATCGCTGCCAATATAAAAACGTCTGTATTTTATGAAATCATATTCTTAAATTTTAATATTTTATTTCTATTAGTTTTATAAAGCCGAAACGATTCGATGAATTAGGTATAAAAAATTGTGGACAAGGCGGAAATGATACAATTTGCTTTCAAATTACTCGTGAAGAAGCAAACCGACTGCGTGATAATCTTTGTAATGTATTATCAAGCGATAATTCACCTGTTTGGTTTCATATTGTTTCGAATCCATTGCATTCACTTATTCCACGTACATTGGTAACGACTGACGATATTCAACATGCAGGATCAACATTTGATGTCGCATGTCAATTTGGATCACTTCGATCGTACAATCAATTTTATTCGCACGTTCAATTCGATAATAAAGTAGTTAAAGTTTCATTTAAACCTTTGAGAGGAACACCAAATGCCATACACATCGACTTCGATCACATACGTATCATTATTCCATTTAAATTAATTCAAAGACAAAATATTTTAGTTAATAAAGAAAATTCAAAATATGGAGTCTATGTTTTACTACCACTCAAATATTTACCAAATATTTTTCGAATGGAACCAGTAAAAGGCGCAAATAAAGCTGATCAAAATGCAGAAAAACAATGCCGGTCAGATTTTTTGCATTGATTTCATTGTTTTTTTTTTATTTTCTTGCTACGATCAATTTTTCTATTTAGATTATGTGGTGATGAATCAAATGTTTCATTTATGAGAGAAATTGTACACTGTTCTGATGTAGTTTTTCATTTTCCACCATCTCAAGATATGCCATGGATGTTTCTGTCTCATTTTCTAGTAGATCGAGCAGAACAGTATCACATTAACTTTTCATGTTTCAAAATATGTGACTGGTCGAAAGAAAATAACAAAAATTCTAGACCAAATCCATTTGATTATAGAAATGCTCCATTTCAAGATCGTTATGCTTTAGAATTACTTATTTCACTTGGTTATGTGTTTCGAGACAAATGGGCACAGTTGACGGATCAAGAATTAAATTGGCATCAATGGAACCCTAGCGAACGCTATTCGATGTGTTGTTTTGTTGTTGAACAATTAAAACTAGATCATGCTTACGATTTAATACGTACTGCAAGTGATTATAATGAGAAAAAGAAAAAATCAGATAGTGATATCAATGATAATGGCGGATTAGTTGCAGATAAACAGCTACTCAAAGTTGCTTGTTGTACATTAACACCATTAAAAATTATTTTTCAACCACTTGAAATTACTATTGGAAGTCGAGCTTTAAGATTGCCCGAGTAAATTTCTTTTCTCGATGATAATTATTTTGTTCCTTATAAATAATAAGACAATCATTAATTTCTATATTTAGATTTGGTGGTGCTGAACGATTTCTTCTTGTACATTTTCGTGATGAAGATAATCGACGATTACGTGGTTCTAATAGAAATATCCAACAAAGATTAAAAAATTCAATGCAAAATGGTATCTCATTGTTTAACAAAACATTTAAATATATGGGTGCAAGTACAGGTCAAATGAAAGAAATGGCGTTTTGGTTCATTGATCTACCGCGTAGTATAAAAAATATTACAGAAGCACACCAGAAACTAGGAACATTTGATGAAATAAAAAATATCGCTACTTATATTGCTCGTGTTGGTCAATATTTTTCTACTACACGGCCTGTTGATGTAAATATTAATTATTTAAAATATTATTTTCGTCATATTGAAAAATTGATATGAGTATATAATATTTTCTTTGTAGATACGATTGACGCCAGTAAAAAATAACAATGGCATTCTTCCCAACGGTGTATCGAATTATGCCTTGATAATTAATGATATTGAAAGAAATGATTATTGTTTTACGGATGGTGTTGGTAAAATATCATTGGGTTTAGCTGGGCGTGTTGCTCAAAAACTGAACATTCCCCTATTTTGCCAGGTTTATATTTAAAAAAATTGACAGACTCTATTTATTGAGCATTATTCTAGGAAGATATTCCATCGGCATTTCAAGTGCGTGTAGCTGGCTGTAAGGGTATGGTAGCAATTGATCCAAAATCAACATTAAACGACTATTATATTCATGTACGCAAGTCTATGGTGAAATTTCCCAGTGATGATTGGAATTTAGAAATATGCGAATTTTCTCGGCCAAGTAAACTATTAATTATTGATCGATTTTTATGTTTACTAAACTGAATCTTTGTATTTCTTTAGTGACATTAACATTAAATAATCAAGTGATTCGACTTTTAAGTGACTTGGGAAATGCTGATGGTCAATTTATTTCTTTTCAAAATCAAGGTTTTGGTTATTCGCAAACTCCTGAAGAACAAGAACCTAGTGCCATCGATATTGCAGTACAAAAAAATATGTCTTATTCATTATCGTAAATTATTAATTCATACAGCAGCAATAAATCTATTATTTGTTTTTAGAAAAGATAATTTACTAACCAATCGTATTCCGATTCCTCCAACAGATGGTCGAAATTTATTTGGCATAGCAGACGAAACTGGTGAATTACAATATGGCCAATGTTTTATACAATATTCTGCATTGAAACCAACAAAAAAAGGTCAAAGAAAATTTCATGTTGTTACTGGTAGGTTTCGCATAAAAATTTTATTTATTTCAGTGCATTTTTGTTTTCAAAGGAACGGTACTCGTAACAAAAAATCCTTGTTTATGGCCAGGTGATTTTCGTCGATTAACAGCTGTTCGTAATAGTACATTAGAAAAATTTATGCGCGATGTTATTGTATTTCCTATCAATGGTCAACGTCCACATTCGAATGAAATTGCTGGCTCAGATTTGGATGGCGATCAATACTGGGTTTATTGGGGTGATCGGTTCACTATTGAGCAAGATGTAGAACCATTAGCATATACGGGAGCAAAGAAAATCGAAGTTTCATCCATTACACCAGACATAATTATTGACCATATTATTAAGACTTTCAGCTCTGGCATTATTTTAGGCATGATTGCAAATACTCATACGGTTGTAGCTGAAAAACATCGAGAACATTCATTCTCAGGGCCGTGTAAGAAATTAGCGGAACTGTTTTCACTTGCTGTTGATTCACCGAAAACTGGGCACTTTATCGATAAGGAAGAAATTAGACCATTTCAAAAGGAATATTGTAAAGATTGGCCAGAATTTATGAGAAAATATGATGAACCCACACCAACACCTCCATCAAATAGTATATTAGAAAAACTTTTTAAGAACGCTGAAAGCAAGTATCATGAGTGGAAAGAAAGACCCATCGCTAACAGATTTCCACCACCGAATCGAGCTATCAAATTTGCATCAGCAAGTACTATTGAAGATGACGATTTTATCGCATGGCTTAGTGGAAGCATTTATAAAGGAGATACTACCCCACGCAAACCTTCGAAAACACCGTCACACAAACCCATTAACGAGGATCCATCAATTGCACAGTAAAATCTCAAAATTTTTGTTTTTCGTATTTCATGATTTTAAATATTTTCATAATCACTTCTGACAGATCTATCGAATCTCCTACAACAGTGAATGAAAACTTAGAACCGGTAACTAGAAAGAATGGAAGAAAACAATCGAAAGACACTTCCAATCGATTAAAAACACCTATTAATCCAAAATCTGAACCAACAATAACAAATGAAAAAGCAGAACCAGAAATTAGAAAGAATCAGAGAAGAAAACCGAACGACACTGTCAATCGGCCAGAAACGCCAATTGAACCAAAATCTGAGTCAAAAGCAACGAAAAATAATTCAGCGAAGTAAATTGATTTTCTCGTGCAATAGTTTTATGTTTGTACAATCAATTTTTCTTTTTCAACTTTCTATAGAACAGAAATTACCGCTCGTACGATAGAAACTCCTAGTACACCATCAGCTACTTCTGCATCTGCAGCATCATCCATTGCTACTCAATACCAAACGGATTTTGTTATGGCAGGAATTACAAATGCAGGCGGTATTCAGTGTACTTCAATTGCTAAAAATTATTATATAGTCGATTCAAATAAAAACACACCTGAAAACTCCAATAAAGAAGAAATTATAAATAAAATTGAATCACTTTTAGACAAAGAAGATGTTTTTAAAAAATCACCATCTGTTTACGATCAAGTCAAACATGGATCACTTTATTTAATAGTTTACTATGGCCATATATATTTTGTTGAGCAAGGTCCATATCCTTTAAAACTAGGTCAATTAAAGGATATAATCAAAACTACAGGCGACGAATTCATTCGCTTCAATCATGCTAATATCGATGAATTAAATGTTCCAGAAGTAAGTTCGAATTAAATACTGTTCATATCAAAATATCTTTTTTTCATTCAATGAATTATTCAGTTATCAAAGTCGACAACCAGAAAAAATAAAATTGGCTATGAATTTGATTGTCGTGTAACTTCGTCTCCATCGAAATATTTTACAGTATTGTATGATGATAGTAAAAAACTTCGACAAATACGTGTCTATCATATATGGTCAAAATATTTTGTACGTGAATCAAATTTCAATGCAGATACTCTATATGAAATTCGTTCTGCATTGACATATGATGAAGGCTCGCTAGATTTTACTGAAAATATGCGTTTAATTTTTAAATCTCAACTAACTGAACTATTTTCGGGTCGTAAACCCAATATTAAGATTGATCGTAGTATTCTTTGTTCTTCGGTTATACCGATTGGTCTCAAAATTCTCGAAGAAGATCAAGTAGATGGCATGAATCAATCGACGACTGAAAGTTTTTATCGGAAAGTTCGATATGTACCAATAGATGAACAGCAAACGAAACCGAATGTATTATTAACCATGGAGTATCATGTTTCACCGCTTAGTAAAAAGAATGGTATTTTAGCACAAGTCTGCAACTCTGCTTTTATCCCAACTGAAGAAGCTTTACTAATTCGTGGACAAGCAGCAGCGTCAACTATCAATAGTTGGTACAACAGTTTACCTTTTGAAATATCAAGATTTAACTAGTAGCCGAACAAATTTATTCGCAATTCAATGTCTTAGAAAAACAAAATTTTCACACAAAGGATAAATTTTGTCTCATTTTATAGACCTTCTGTTTTATTTACTCTTAATAATAATAAATATTCTCAAATGATCACAAATAATGTTTTTCATTAAATAGCTTGATGAATCTATTCTTACGATGAAATGAAGAATTAAACTAACTAGTGACGATCGACATTTCTGCTATTTCCTTTTCAAAATAAATGAGAAAACCGAGTAACATGTTTACATAATAGACTTGAATTTTAGATTTCCTTTTTTTTAGAAATCTAAATCTTTCAAACAAATTGTTGTCCTACATTTTACAATTATTATTATCATGCATTTATTTACACATGAGAAACTAAGTTTTTCAGTAAAATGAATTCATTTTATTTGATTTGACAACAAAAATATTTAAAAGATACAATAAAATTTAAGAAAAAAAAGCAGAATATATTTTTGTTCATTATCTATTGAGAAAAGAAAAGAAATGTAATTGCAAAATATATGAATCTCTGATATCCAAGAAAAATTGATATACCAGTTGACTGTGTTCCCAGACAAGTTCCATTGTCATCAAAAGCAGTATCATTGAATAGGTTAAGAATTCGAAAAGGTTCAAGTTTCTCGTAAGTTGTCGGTGCACTGATGGAATCGTCAAGGCAATTTTCTAAATTACATCGAAAAATCATTTCAGTCGTATTAGTACCATTTGGCCAATAGCTTTCTTTAATATTCAACAAATAATCATCTTGTGAGGTTTTAATACACATTGGATTTCCATTAAGTTCAATGGTATTATTGCCGGAACTACCTTGAACTCCATAATTTCCTTGACAAACGGTATTAGTTTCACATCTTTGACTACTAGTGCAATTGATAGTAGGTAAACTAAGCGTATCATCATAGATAGAATCAATTATATTCTCCTTAGTAACGTTTGCACCCACTGAATCAATATTACTAACAGTCTTAAACAATTCAAGGAGAAATTCCGTATCACAATTGTCTTGCTTACATGTATACCTGACTATAGTAATTAGTGCAGCATTTAACTTAACAATAGTTTCTACACGATTTGCAGTAGTAGTAACGCAATTTTCGATGCCTAAACGGCCTGTAGCAACAAGAGCTTGCCGATCGATTTCCACGTATAATGAACATTGTGAATTATTTCGTGTAATATTTGCACATGCATTTATAGGGATAATCTGATTTAATGGAATGCGAATAAAAGTACATAATCGTGCGCAGCGAAGCGATTGACAAATAACCACTAAACCCAATAGAGTTAAAAGTAGACATATTCTTGTAAGTTTCATGATTATTATCTCCGTTTTTATTTCTCTTATTTTTTGGTCTTAACGAAATAACAACACTCGCTGTTATTGATAATATAAGCGATAAGGATTTTTCGTTGCATAGCAGTGTACTCCACAGAGAACGACATCACGAAAGTAGTATGAGACAATAATTTACTTGGAGAAATACGCGTTGGTCACGTTTTCTACGATCATCACAAGGTCATCATTTTAGTGAAATTACACAATTTAAGATGTGAAAAGAGCTGTATTTTTGAGAAAAAAAATCTTTGTTAGTTGTTTCTGAAATATGTTTAAAATATGAAATTTAACGATGAGGATAACAAATATTTTACTGTAGTTTCATCGAATAACTTTTTATGGTTTTCAGAATCCGAATAAAAAAATATTAAGATCTGATTCATATGTATATTTTATTTGTTTATTATATACTATTAAACATTCAGCTGGTCTAAAATAAGTTGATCAAAAACAGACAAAATTCTAAGTATTTATTGCATAATTATTCTTTTCCTACACGTACAAAATATTATTTTATTCATTGACCTAATCGAAATTCGATTGTGTTGTATTAAAAAATCAAAACAGATATAAGAAAGATTCATCCATTTCAATATATCGGTTTGCATCAAAAGTCTACCTAAAACATGAATAAATTGTTGATAATAATTCTGGCTTAAGTCAAATGACTCACATATTGTTTTTGTCATCAATAATTTCATGTGATTATGCAAATTTTCTCGTTATAAATTTATTTAGAAGTGATAGCGAAGTAAATATTGTCGAAAATTTGACCTAACGGATAAAAAAATAAACTCTAATAATAAAATCATTTTAAAATCTAAATCGTGAAAACTGTTAAATAATTGTTTTAAGTATGATATTAAGTAGTTGTGATCAAAATTTTCATTATAATATACATATTTAGCCCAATAAAGCTTGACCAATCTGTTCAGCTAAGCCAACTAAATATTCTTCTTGAAGTCTTCTTCCCACTAACTGAATTCCTACAGGTGCTCCATCATAAATATCAGCATCGTAGCCTTCGTATACTTTCGCATCAAGATCATTGATACTTTTGTATTGCATATCCTTGACATCTATCTCTTTATCGGCAAATGTCACAGGTATAGTCATTGCTGGCCAATCTAGTAGATTAATGATTGAAGTATATGCATAATATTTGTAATCACCATGTTTAACCGCTGTATGTGGAGCTACAGGCAAAATCCATCCGTCGATATGTGATTGTTGCTGCCAAAAATTCAAATACTCTTTTTGATACGTATACTTTTCACTTTGCAATTTCCAGAGTGTCTCAAGATCAATAGGTGGCCGTTTTAATTCAAGCAATTGTTTAATATCTGGAATGGCAGGTTCTCCACTTGATTCAATTGAACGTCTTATAGCGGCTCCTCCATCAGCAAATAGAATCGCTGTAGTTAACTCAGTTGCATATTTATGTTTGTAGGGTTGCCATTCGACTACTGTATGGCCAGCTTTCTGTAGAGAAATAATAACCTGTTGAATACCGCGAAGAATTGGCGGATGAGGCATTACAATACCATCAAATCCAAAAATCCTTTGAGAAAGAAAAACAATATTTGATACTTTTACTATGACAGTAACAATAAATTTCTATTAGCCTTTCATATCTAGACATGATTGCTGAAAGTAAACAGCTTATATTTAACTGAAATATCTGAATTTCATTACATATAACTCGCCTTCATATTTGAGTTCAGGCACTTATCAAATAGTGAATAACATGGAATGGTAGTTATAGTCAGATCAGATGTAATAAAGTAAAATGAATGATGTTCAAAAATATTTCAGAACAATTTTAGAACATGATTTAAATACTATACATTCTCTGATCTGAATCAATCATTTTCAAAATCAATAGACCCGAAGTGTAACTGTTACGTTCATAATCTCAAATAGAAATTTAGATTTAATACATGCTTATTAATATCAGTGGAGACAATCTTTTTTTGTTATTATGACTTTAGTCTTCACAATGATTCTATTTTAGTGGTATGGTTACAAAGGATTTTACAAAAATTCACTGTCAAATTTTCACTTAATACAATATCCATCATTCGCTTACCCGCCAACAGCCATTACTCCAAAAACTTTTTTTCCAGTTTTACCCTCCAAATATCTTGTCTCGCGCCAAGGTATGTCAATCAATTTTGGATCATACTTCCATGGCTCCTGTTGTAAAAATGCTTGCATAAAATAAGCTAAATCACCAACACTGTGTGCCATTGGGCCACAAATGGAAGGGATTGATTCGTTTCCATCGACAGTTTTCTTCAATTTTCCCATGGGTAGTCTTTCATTACTAGGTTTTAAACACCATAAATTATTAAAGGCAGATGGTATACGAATTGATCCTCCAACATCTGTACCAATACCTAATGGACTTCCATGAAATCCAACAAGTGCACCTTCACCACCACTTGATCCACCACATGAAAGTAATCGATTGTAAGGATTGAGTGTACGTCCAATAATATTATTGACTGTTTCTCCAATCATTAACGATTGTGGAACACTTGTCTTGACATAAATAATAGCACCTATTCATATGATACTTAGATATAATTAAGTCGATTTAGTGTGTATTCATTCTTTTATAGGTTGTACTCTATTGCTTAAAAGTCTATCAGATACTAGTTTTTGTTTTTGTTTTGTATTCCTTCTTTGTAATACTTTGTTATCTTATATATTTTACTTACATACCTGCTTTTCGTAAACATTCGGTGACTATACTTTCATCTTCGTCTACTGTACCCAAGCCACTAACATAACCAATACTTGATTCTAGTCCTTTGACACGAAATTGATCTTTGAGTGAAACAGGCACACCATGTAGTAATCCTACGGTTTTTCCATGCTTTTGAAAGTATTCATCAAGTTTGTTTGCTTGTTCCAGTGCGGCATCGAAACATATTTCAAAAAGACAATTCACTAATTGATGAGCAATAGCTGCTCGGTGACAATATGCTTGACAAACTTGTGCAGCTGTGTATTCACCTGATGCAATTTTTCCAGCGAGTTGTTGTACGTTTAACTTAGTTATAGTCAATTCTTCAGCAGTCAGCAAATTGCTTTCCTCAACAAATGAAATAACAGATCGTTGAGATTCGGCTGGTAGCTGATCACTTCGAATACGCCATTGATCAGGAATAAGTGCGAGCAACGCTTTTCGTTTTTTATCCACTGTTTCTTCCCAAGTCATTATGCTTTCAGAAATATAGGAATGACGAATAATTTAAATTAGAACTGCAAATACAAAAAAAACAAGTGATAACTGAATCTCTAATATATTCTCATTTTCATTTCACTTTTTCAAAATACTTATATATAATGAAATATAATTTAGAAAAATGATGTTTTATCTATCATAATAGTTACTAGTTAAGAAAAGATAGAATGTCAACTTTTGGGCGACATATATAAGAACTCGAAGAAATAGAAAAAAAATTTAATAACAGTCTAACTCTCAAATACCACGCACACAAAATAAAATGATAAAAAAAAGCATTACAAGCATCATCCTGTGTCATAAAATTTGTGTCGTGCGATACTAAAAACAACTTTCTCATGTCACAAGAAGCTGTATAAGTTTGTTAGTGATGATTCAAAGTATTCGTGAGAAATAGAATCGATTCTGTTTCGTGCTTTCACAGAATTATTTTCTTTGCTGACGAACACGACGCATTTGAATAATATATAGTTATAAATTATAGTTGTTTCAAGCCATTCTTATTAAAAAAAGATCACCATTTCTTGACAATGATTTGATGCTGAAATCAAACTTTTCATGATTAATATTATATTTTCGCAATGTTTGAGAAGATGATCGTATTAAAACGTGTATGTTGAACATAATTCAAATATATTTTCAAATTCCAGTGATTGAAATCGAAATAATTTTTTCAATAAATCTCTAAAAAAAAATCTAGGTGTAAACCATAGAAGATTTGTTGAAGAAGCTTTTCATCTTGATATGATAAAGGTGGAACTACTTAAATTCATCTTAAAAAATGAATGAATCCCTATCCTAATTAAGTATTGCTTCCAATTGATTAAAATCGATTAAATGAACATTATCATGTGATTCAAGACGAAATTGTTTGTTGCGTATATGTTAATAAAAAATATTTTCGATCATTTTCATTTAATATCATACGACATTGAAGAAATCTAAAATTTTAACGAGACAAGAGAAAAACATGAATAAATTCTTTATTATTATATGAACTAAAACTTACTCGACTTGTTCATCATTATCAAATAATATTTTGTATCCATATCTTGATCTAACGAAGATGAAGATTGTTCGACGTTTAAATGTATAACCGATTGTTGTTTAATTCATGAATATAAGTAATAAACAGTAGAATAATATTCAAACTAAAAAATAAAGAAAATTAACTATAAGAAAGGCTTGTCTTTTTGTTTTCATGTATTAATTGTTCCATAATATAATGATGTTAGAGAAGATACTAAAAACAATTAAAAAGTGCCATTGTGATGGATTTCAATAACCATTTGATGTTGTTGACTTAGTGTTTATCTTCTTTCATTTTGTGAAGGTGAAGAAGAAGAACATAAAAGATCAATTAGCGGTATAGTCAATACTACAAAATTTGTTGTTTGTCATTCTTTGGAATGCATGTGATCTTTACGATCAATTACATAGCAATCGATCAAAACCATCAAAGAACACTATGTACGTAGTGAGCGGATGTTAATTTTACAAATAGAAATGATAATGAATTTGATCTCGATTGCTTACCAATTGTCTAATTATCACGAATAACAAAAATGACTATAAATAGTAATGATTTTTAACGTTAGAAATCATTCCTCCTCTTTCTTCTTCTTCTTCTTACATTATTATATTATATGTATGTTTTATTTTTTAACTATTTTAGCTTGTATTCGTACTTACCATCTTACCATTGTTAAAAATCATGGGTAAGTATTCTAGTTTTAGTTTTAAATTTTTTTTCGTTGTCTCAGCTTTTTACCCCATTTGTTTATTATTATTTTAATTTTTTTGTATATAAAAAAATTTATTTTATCAACAAATAAGTTTATGTTATTAATAAATATTTTCAAAACAGCAAATCTTTTTTTGCAAAAAAAAAACAAATTCATCTTTTATTTAATTCGTTTCTTTTCATTTAACAAATAAATAGAAGAAGAAGAAAAGAAACATGACGTAATCTTATATTTTAGCTTTTTTCTTTTCTTTAAAGCGAAAGCGTAGAAGAAGATTTCTTTTTTTTGTTCATTTATTTCAAACAATAGGAAAAAAACGAACAATGAAAAAACAATTCAAAAGTCTTATTCGATAGAAAATTGTTGAACACGATTATTATAACAATCGGCGATATAGAGATTACCATGTCGATCGAAAGACAAACCATAGGGGTTGCTGAACTGATTTGCTCGTGCTCCTTCGCCATTTTCACCCACAATTACAGTGCCTTGTTTCTTCTTGCCTCCTTGAGTCCAACGCATTACACGATGATTCACCTGGTCTGCTACATAGAGTCTACCCAACGTATCAACGAAGATTCCACTAGAACAATATAATTGTGTCAGATCATACCCTTCGTCTTGTCCTCCAGCGACCACAATACCTTCTTTTGCACCTTTAGTCCATTTCATTACACGATGGTTCTCGTTGTCTGATACGTACACTGAATGATCTCGATCGACAAAGAGATATGTCGGCACGTTGAGCTGATTGAGTCCATCCCCTTGTCCATTACCACCAGCTATGAGAGTGCCATTCTTCTCACCCAATTGATATCGCCTTACTTCATCTTTTTCTGTGTCAGAAACGTAGAGATATCTCTGCTCATCCATGGCTAATCCCCAACATTGGATGTTGTCGATGAGTATTTCACCTTGTGTTATATCACTACGACGAGACCATCGTACGACTCGTTGATTGTCCCGGTCACAAATAATGAGACTGTCCGTCTCTTTGTCAATTAATACATCAGTTGGACGATCCAATTGATGCAATCCATTTCCTTCGTCATTACCACCAGCAACAACTTGTCCATTCGTTGTATCACCGTTCTTCCATTGCATGATACGATGATTCCCCCAGTCAGCAATAACCACTGTTTGATCATCATCAACGAAGAGACCTTTAGGGTAGAAGAGTTGATTAGTGGCATCTCCCATCCCGTAACCTCCAGCAATAGTCACACCGTTCTGTTTCCATTTAGCATCAGCAGGAATATTACCTGGAAGAGAAAACGTAAGAATAAAAGGAAATCTCTCTCTTTCTCTTTATCGAGTATAACTGGTATATGAAATAATTTCGAAAGTATCCAGTAAAATTCTTTAAATAGATCATTCTTTTCTAGAAATTCCTCAGAATAAATTTTTTCTATACTGGAAGATTATTCTATAGAATGAATCACACATATAGCATATTGTTCTCTCTCTCTCTCTCAAGCGTATTTAAATTCTATATTCTGTAGAAAATCAAACTTAAATAATTACATCTAGTTAACCCAAGCAGACATTAAAAAGTCATTCAATCGGAGTTTCAAGTGATGAACTCTATCTATTTATTTCTTTTGTGAAAATTATTCAGTTAAATTATATAAGAGTAATATTTTGTAGAACATATTAAACGATCAAAAAAAAGTGACATGCACAGAGCATATAGTATATGTAATTAAAATGTTGCTTAGCAACGACATAGCCGATATTGATATTTCGAATGAATAGGGAATGTGTGTATCGAGATAATTAATCGAAACTCGTGTAAGTAGTACAACCAAAAATACTAATGAAAATTGAATCGATTTTCTAATCATTTTATTGGCATAAATAATTTGCCGAACTCATCAAAATGTAAAATAAATTTTGTTATTATTATTTAAAAACAAACAAGAATGTTTGGACAATACCAACTTGTAATAATTTATTCAATAATGAGTTTACAATAAAACGCGATAGCAATATTGCGCTGATAATAATATGTGCGCATGTTTCTCAATACAAGTCAGGTCTAACTATTTATATTCTAATAAAACTATTTCTTCGAACAACTCAAATTTAAACTCCTCTCTGACTAATAGAACTGCCCTTTCGCCCCCCGCCCCTCCCCCAATATATCGTAAGCTTATATAATAGAGAGAGACAGAAAAGATTACGTACTATTCAGTACACGACTATGTATTAATGTCATATACACAAGGATGTATACTATTAGTAATGTAAACTTAATTACGTCACTGCAATATGTTTATTAGCTCTATGATTTATAAATGGAGGTCCGACGGTTTCTATAACCACCTATTAACTCTAGTCCTTCATGAGTGAAGTACTTCTTGGCACAAATATATTATCGAGTAGTATTTTTATCTTTAAACTTGAGTATCAGATTTTGCTTCTTTTCCTGTGAAGAAAATATTTTTCAATCGTTAAATTATATTTTATTAGAATTGTTTTTTGGTTCTCTTAAATATAAGTAGAACATTTCCTATTTAGAAAATCGCATATTTCTTACTTCTATGTTTTAGAATATCTTTTATTAAATTCTATATAAATTATTCTGTGACATTATAACAGGAATATTAACTAGAATAGAGAAAACCCTAGTGCTAGAAAAGAAGAGCTACTCTCACGCGAGTACTTCTATCTAATTTGATGGGTAAATATCCTAGACCATTATCGATTAGTCGGATTTTGTTGGGTGAATCGTAATTCTGATGACACATGATGATGGGATTCAGTTAGTTATTTTCTCTGTTTTCTTATAAAATCTGGATTCTCCTTGAATCGGGTCAGATTTACCATGTCGAACGATATGATGGGGAATTTGTATTTGTGACTAATTCAAAACACTTATATCGTTATAGAAGTATCGTGGTCTACCTCTATCTGTATGGATATATCTCATCTCTCCTTACACTGAAAAAGAGACAGGAGAGAGAATGGAAAGACTCTCACATCTACCATCAGCCAAACTTTGTCTCTCTGTGTCTTTTCCTCATCCTCACCTCATTGAATAGAAAGATAAATTATTTATAGATACTCTAGAGATCATGGAAAATGTTTGTTTTCGTTTTAACCTAAATGAATGATTCTGTTGTGTGATTTAGTTTTTTAGTTTTCTTGATATTCATCTGTTGGAATCCGAAGTAAATCGAAATGTAACAGCACACGAATATCAATTTTTTTCTAGATCAAATATATTGTACATGCACGCAAAAAATTGTTCAATATGTACTACTTATTTTTGAACCAGGGCGTGTGCGTTGATGTTCTGGACATTCACACACCCGCATCCGCATCCCCACCCACACCCTCTGTTTTGATGAAAGCATTGAAAATCACTGAAAACAATCTTATATTCTATCATTTTAATTCCGAATGTGGTAGAGACACTCTCGATATTAGTGTTCTATTAGAAACATATAGAAATAACTCTTCTCTAAATATATGCTCCATTTCTGTCGAGTTTTGTCTTTGCAATGGCATAGACTGCTAACACTTAACATCACATAACAATGGAAGTAAACACAAAAAAATGTGGGGTGTGGGTTTTGACCTTCTCGTTCATCAAAGTCCTCGCACACACTCTATGAAATTGAAACTTTGTTCTCTTTCGTTTTTACTTTCCCATCATCTTCATTACAAAAACGAAATACGAAAATTAAAGAAGTATAAGGTTCACATCATGTGTTCTGAATTAGTTTGTGTTGTTCGTAGTGCGTATGTAACCAATCATATTTAAAAATGTGTATGATTTCTCTACGCATTAAAAGGAGTAAAACACAAGACTATAAAACACTAACTCCACAATGAATAAAATTCAATAAAAAGAAAGAAAGAAACAGATAAGCAACTCACGATGTGTTGGCTTATTATTGCTCGGTTTTGTTGACTTCGGTGTTACATGTACTGATGCCATCGCTGCTGTTAATCCTTGTTGACTATTATTATCATCATTATCATTAATTTCTATTAAATGCACTAAACGTAAATTGCCATGTTGAAATTCAATATTTTTCACCAGTAACTTAGTGCCGAATTCCAATATAACTTCGTGTTCATCAGGATACATTGTATAGCCAGCCAGATTTCTTCCAGCGACGGCTTCGATCATGAAGAGCGTTACTTCTTGATCAGGTTTCAGAAAAGCCTTGACAACATCGGCTGATGTCGAGCAAGAACTTACAGTCCACCATGTCACTATTTTATTTGCTGTATAGCCACTGGTGACATTACCAGCTACGGCACGCCAAATAATTCCTTTTTGTTTTGGCAATTTACGAAGTGCCGTATTGAATAGCTTCAGATAGCTAAACCACGGTATTACTTCATTTCGGTTTTCTTTTCTTAGTACTTGGTTTAAAAGGCGATAGAAACTATGATCGCCTGCCTCCATGGTATAAAGAAACAATGCAGCCGACTCATCCCGCGTTAGATTATGCGGTGATGGTTGCGTGCAACGTTTTTTGGCTTCTTTGATAGTAGGTTTAAGCTCATTAATTTTTGACAAGAAATCCTTTAATGATTCTTCAAGTGAAACAAGCTCGTAAGTCCAATAACCAGCAATAGGTTTTAATTCGTGGGTTTCAAGTTCGAATTCCGTAAATCGATTCATTCTTATCTTTGTTTTCGTACGATATTCTACAATAAAACTACTACAAGAGTTGTCAAAACTATAAATCCCCTCGCACCTCATATGAACATACAAAATATTTATTTTATTGCAAGAACGAATGATATTAATTTGTTATAGTGACGCGTCTATATTGGACTACTTAAGTACTATCTGATACTCACCCATGTAATAAAAACCGCATGAGAATCGGTGGTTAACCGCGGTTTTACCGATCCGATTACCGGCTCCCATTATCGCAGAACGGATAAATACCGCGGTTTACCGCAAAAAATGATCCGGTATTCGCAACATGGGCACAACTCCCTCTTTCATCTCTTGCTCGTTGAAGAAAAAACTGAATAAAACTAAAAACATCTGTACCTTAATTATGGATCCCATTCATAAAAAAAAACATATTTTCTCATCTTTTAGAGTGTTCCAAAACCTTCAGCTTTTTAATTCTATTGTAGTATTCATTTTTTTTCTCTACATTCTTCATGCTATTTGACGTTTATCAGAAATATTTGACTTCGAAATTTCAAGACTTTGGATATTTCTTGAACATTCGCCCATCTACTAATTAGTCAAATTTTGTCAATAAATAAATTCTCTCACGTTTCTTATCTACTTAAAACTAAGAAATTAGATGTGTTTTCTCGAAATAGTGTCAACAGAACTGAAATTGGAAATAAGGATTCGGCTTAAAAACAGTAGTAGATTCTTTTCTACTGTGATAAATGTTTCAGAAGACTTTGGACTACACATATATTTTTAGCTTATAAACCAAATTCAATGGTATGGTTAGAAATAACATATCAAGTTGTACCTAACAAAAATGATGCACCTATCTTTTTAAAATATAACTTGTTCATTAATATCCTACGACTACTATGAGAATACGAAGCAAAATGTCTGTAATTCATGTTAGTAATTTTTATACTAATTCAAAGATATTGATTTTTCCCCATCATCTCTTCTTTTATTTTGCAAATAGAAAACCTAAGCCAATTCACTTTTAATAATCATGCTTTTTTAAATGTGATTCTCTAATTAAAAGTATGTCTTCCTCTTTGTTGATGGTATATTGATTTTATTTTATTATTCAAATTCTTAAATAAAAGATAGTCCTCAGCTCTGATGCTTTCAGGGCATGGGTGCCCAAAACGTCAATGCCCACACCCTCATACTCCTTCACTCAAACAGATAAACGCACAAAAAAATAAATCTACATATATTAATCATCATTTTTCATAATTATGGTTTTTTCATCTACTATGTCTTAATATCTTTTACAAATTTTTTTTTCTTTTTGTAACATTCCTGATGAGGGTGAGAGTTCTTGCCGAAAGCTCGAAATAAAATTAAATAAAGTTTGAATTTTGTTAAAATTCTCATGTATTTTGTGACAGTTATATACTCAATTTTATGATAAGATTTAGTTGATATTTTTTTCAAATGTCTTTTTTCTTACCTTTTTTTTGCAAAGCGACGTAACTCAATCCATTTCTATTTGCTTTACCACTTCTTTTCTTTTTTCAAGCATGTGCCCTTGGAGACGCATCGCATACATAACAACAATACGCATTCAAAGGAAGAAGAAAAAAGAAATTATCCTTTTTCGGCGAACTTCTTCAATTCTGAATAAACAATTTGGTACTGAATGTTTGCTCGAATAAAGACAATAGACATTTTTAATAATGAATAGCAACAAGCAATAGAGTGGTCAGATCAAAAATTCAAAAATCAGAATTTTTCTTATAAAAATCAGAAAACGACCAGAAATGTTTTTATGAATATCAGAAGTTTATCAGGAAGATCGTTTTTTGTGATATAGCGACTTCTTTATTAAGATGATAGCATTAAGTACTTCATTATATTTATTTTATGGACTAGTACTTCAATTTCAAAGTTTCATCACTGTAAAGATGAATATTTATCAATGAATAATCAATCTTTACGAAAAACTCTCTTTTTCCTTTATTTTGCGAGATGATGTTGCTTTTGGTAATTAATGCACTTCGCTTTATGTCTCTTCAAAATCAAATTCAACTATATTAATATCATCTATTAGATAACGTAGTTTTTATTTGTAGAATGTTTCATAAGCGAGAATCTCGAAATCAAGAAAAGAAATTTATTAAATTCTAGTGCACCTCTGTAGCTGAAGTTCCCTATATAAGTCAGAAATTATCATCGGATAATTGAGAAAAAAAAATTGACGCAATAAACATCTATAATAGTAATGTGTTATAATTATACTGAAGTACAGCTGCAAAGCTGGAATGTGAAATATTTTCGAATTCGGAAAGAAATCAAAAAAAAGTATTAAAATCAGGAATAATCAGAATATAATACGACAATCAGAAGATCTGAAGAAATTCAGAAAGGACTTCAAATTTCATAATTTTTCCTTAGTTTTCAGAAGATCTGACCACCCTGCATGGGACATCTCAATTATCATATATCCTATAAGACGTTAAGTTTATCTGAATGCTCACCTAGTTACTAACACTATGATGTCATATTATCTTTTCACACGTTCATAATTTTATTATTATCAAGTTCACAATTCTTTTTTTACTTTCACCATCAAAAATACATCACTCTATGAATAAATACAAAATAGTACAAAATATGACAATGTAGAGAAAAGTAAAGCAACGCAAAAAAATGAAAGCAGTGTTTTAAATAAAAAAAACGATTCGAACAAAATAAATATTATTAAAAATGGGGAAAAGATATTATTGTACATCATTGCACAAACTTCATATTTTCCATAGACCGAATGAGTAGGATATTGTTGACTTGTTTTGATTGCACAGATGAGTGCAACATCTATGTCACAGTAATTGTATATCGCAAAAGTTTAGTGCATTTATCAAGCCATTTTGTCTCCTGGAACGAGACGAAAATTTTTAGTCCCATGGGATGAAATGTCAAAAAAAACATTTCAGTCCCATCCCACGCGGAGTTCTGTTTTATATTATCATTTTCACAGTTGCACTGATTGTTCAAGTGATTAAATTTATTTTTAGCGATATTTTTAAGAGTGTAATGAAGTAGTGTGGATGTAATAGAAGTTTGTTGGAAGACACTGCTGATTAACTATCAAATGAGTTTTGTAGTTTTAATTCTATCAGGGAATTACTTCCGTGCATTATTGATGATTGCAAGGAGTCATTGCAGGCGATATCGATAACTCATTGCTCTTCGAATATTTATCGATCAATCCCAGTGTTAATGAAATTTGATTTCTATTTTTTTTATTGATAAATAAGTGAAAGATCTCATATATCGATGTGTAGGTTTTAGTTTTCTATGCTTATAGAAATTGAATAGAGGACTCCACAATAGCACACATAGGAATTTATACAGGTAAATGATTATTGCTGCACTGTAATTTTTTTAAAATTCTACTTTTTGGAAAATCGATTTCAAATAAACTGAAGCACTTTAAAGGTTTTATGATTTATTCATTGAATTTTGAATAATTCGAAAATGCTTGATTTTCCAATTTATAGAAATTCAATTTAATTTTCGAAAAAAATCATTTTCCAAAAAGGGAAAATCAACATTGATTGTAAATAAAATTCGAAAAATCAATTTCGATTTGAAAACAAACAATATATTAATTATCTCAAGCCGAAACTACCCCATCAGATCCGATAGAATCCGAAAACATCCGGCATTATTCGAGAGTCAGATGCGACGGAATTCCGATAGTCGAAAACCAGTGATATCCGTTCCGTTTCAACGCTTTCGATAATCGAATCCGGCGTTATCCGACAGCTAGGAACTTTACCACATCCGACGATTTTTGACAGTCGGATACCATCGATTTCAATAATAGCTCAATGAACAATGGGTATTTAAATAGATAAAGAAATCATTTTTTTTAAATTTTAGATCAGTTTCAACGTCTAATTGAATAGTAAGTATTTTATTTAAAAAATAATTTTCTTTTCTCCATTTTAGATCATTTCTAATGCCGAAATGAATAGTAAGTATTTTACTTAATTAAATAATTATTCTTTATTTAAGATCATTTTCAACAGCGAAATGACTAGTAAATATTTTATTTGATTAATTTTTTTCTTTATTTTAGACCATTTTCAACAGTGAAATGAGCAGTAAGTTTATTTTGAGATAAATATATTTTTTCTTTTAGTTAGATCATCTGATCTTTCAAATGAACACTAATATAAACAAAAGAAACTTAAGGATAGAATGAAAATCAAAGTTCATATTTTTAATGTTTCGAATATCTTCTTTTCAAGACTTTAGAAATTCATCAGCGAATTCATATAGGCATTCCTAAAATATCCTCAATCAAACTCTATGACTTATTTTGTAGTTTACAGTGATAATTGAATACGATTCTCATGTAAAAGAGTGTTTATACCACTGATTTAAAAATATTGTGCTTAACATCTGATCCTTCAGAAGATGGGAATAATAAAGCGACAATATTATTAATAATATAATGTTTTCTAATGACCGAAAAATGCTTTAAGATTAAAGATAAATTCGTATATGCTGCCGGCGAGCATATGATGGAAAATTTGATTTTGCGAGAAATTCATCATCTCTAATACAACACTAATTTGTAGTAAAATTAAAAAGAGGAAACATTATCAGTATTTGTGATGCTTGTCGTCCTTGCTATGTCCGCAAGACCGCGAATACCGCAAGAGATGGTGCTAGTGTTTCACCTTCTTGATTTTGCTACAAATTGCTTGTGCGTTTGAGTTAATGATTTTGTCGCAAAATCAAATTCCCCATCATATGCTCAATTCGAGTTGTAAAATTTAGAAATTGGATAAAATTTTTATCATTTGTTTTTTGCTGTAACTTTATGAGCGTCTGATTTTTTTTATTTTCGAAGTGATATTGTGTAGTTGAACCTTCACTTATATTTGAATTCGAATTAAGCATCTTATGCAACTTTGCTAGTAATATGCGTAAGTACTACTTTGGAGTGTTCTTGGCATAATCCCTAAGTCTCTGTTTCGTTGTGCACTAGTTGCTTAAATAAAATTATGAATGAAAGATTTTATTTTAATTCTAAGCACAAACGAAAGAATAATATAGCATGAACATATATAGCTTTCATTCCAATCTAACTTTTTTTTGTTTGTATTTTAGTTATTGAATGTATTATCGATGTTTTTCGTAAGTGGTGCATATGAAAATTCAGATATTTAAATTAACAAAAAAGAAAATAAATTTTAACACACAGTGTAAACAGTTAAACATAGCAGGTAAGATATACCCAGGTCGAGGTTTACGGAGTCCGTATACAGTAAAATACGGAGCAAAACAGATCGCATACGGGCCCAATGTTCAAGAATCGCAAACAACCGATTTTTGTCTCCGTATATGGTCGTAAACGACTGTGCTTGTTCGATCTGGGTACATTAAAAGTTTCGCGGGTGTAGTCAACATGGAAGAATTGAAAACATCTTTTACAGATAGTGCATTTTGTTTTAAAATAGATTATCGACTAATGCCTCTATCTTGAAAATGAATTATTAACGAAAAATTTTTTAAAAAATTATTCAACTGGAATTAGAAAAATCTAAAGCAACTTTCAAAAGATTTACCCATGAACTGATAATCGAACGTTCAATAGGTATCTAGCGACCTATTCTACATTTAGTGCTACTTCGATTCACGCACCCTATACATCTGCGAGTAACATTGAATGTAGCGCTATATTTTTATTTGCTATTGACATAAAAATCCTGATTGGACCGTTCTATGGCTTTTTGTTTTCATTACATGTTCGTTTAAAATTTCTTTTAACTTTTTTCCCGCCGAATATATTCTATCTATTCACTTAAAAAATTTCATTTATGGCTATCGATACCGAAATGCAGACTTCACCATCAGATTCAACAATTACTCGCATTGTTAATAATATTAAAAAAAGCGAAAGTGACTCATGGAATTATCGTGGATTGGAACTTTCGAACGAGATGCTTGTTGTACTCATCAGTCATCCAAATATTGATAAAGCTGCTGCTGCTCTTGACGTTACAATTGGTAGTTTAGCTGATCCAAAAAATGTTCCTGGTATTGCTCATTTTCTTGAACATATGCTGTTCATGGGTAGTTCCAAAGTAGGCCTATTTTTTACATATATTTATATTCACAATTTTTTCATGAATTTGGTTTTTAACTTTAGTATCAAGGTGAAAATGAATATTCAAAATTGGTCGAAGGTAATGGTGGCTATTCAAACGCTTTTACATGTGGTGATCATACAAATTATTATTTTGATATTAATCCAAGTTTATTACCAGAAGCGCTTGATGTGTTAGTTCTATTCTTTGCTTTCCTTCAAGTCAATAAATTATTTTCTATTTGTTTTAGTTTTGCTCAGTTTTTTATTGCTCCACTATTTGCAGCATCATCTACTGATCGTGAATTAGAAGCAGTGAATTCTGAATTTGAAGGAAATCTATCTAAAGATGCTTGGCGTCTATCTCAATTGGAAAAGTCTACATCGGATCCAGATCATCCATATTCAGGTTTTTCTATTGGAAATACTGAAACATTAAGAGTAACACCTAAACAATGTGGCATTGATATCCGAGAAGTACTATTAGATTTTCATAAAGCTGAATATTCATCAAATAGAATGAGTTTAGCTGTACTTGGCAACCGTACGTTATTAAGCTTTTTTCTCATAAATAGTTGCAACAACAAATTCGCTTTTAGAATCACTTGATGAACTTCAATCGCTTGTGGTTAAAATTTTTAAAGATGTACCAAATAAAAAATTGAAAAAACCCCAATATGACTGTGATCCATATGGTGAAATAAATAGAAAAGTTAGTCATTATTAAATTAGTTTTTAAGAAAATATAAGTTTTTCATACAGACGATTTGTTATATTGTTCCTGTTAAAGAATATCGTCATTTGGCAATACATTGGGTTATTCCAGATCATAAAGATATATATTATTGTAATGTAAGTGTCGTTCATTGAATTGTTTTATCTGAATTATCGTATGTTAAAGAATATCTCGATTTTGTTCAGCCTGAATCATATTTATCGCATCTGATCGGGCATGAAGGCGATGGTTCCATATTGTCATATTTAAAGAAATTGGGTCTTGCTATTGAATTGGTATCTGGTGAGAGAAATTCCGCGCCAGGTTTCAACTTTTTTACTGTCGACGTGGAACTAACTATCGAAGGATTAAGTAAATAAGATAGAATACAAAAATAAAAATACAATGTTGTTTTTTTGTGTTCAAATTAGATCGATGGGAACAAGTTATATATATTATTTATCAATATATAGCTATGCTACGCAAAGACGAGCCCAAAGAATGGATTTTCGATGAATGCAAAGTAATATAAAGCCTTGAAAACTATAGTGTTAGCTTTAATTTTTATGTTTAGAATTTTAATTCTATGAATTTTCAATTTCGTGAGAAAGAGCGACCTGATGACTTTGTCTCGAATTTAACTGGTCGAATGAGGGCATGTCATTGCATTGATATTATGGAAGACGAAAACATTCAATTGAATTATTCTGTTTTATTTTTGTTAGGATTATCCTCTCGTCGAATGTCTGTCGGGTGAATATGAAATGCGTGAATTTCGTCCAGACTTGATAAAAGAATTACTTAATGAATATTTAATACCAAGTAGAATGAGGTAAAAATAAACTATACAAGAATCGATCAATCTATTTTTCCATTTATCAGAGTATTTCTTGCAAGTAAAGAATTTACATCAATAGCAACAGAAAAAGAAAAATGGTTTGGTACGCAATATAAAAAAGAATATTTACCTGAAGAACTAATTGAAAAATGTGAAAAATGTGAACTGATTCCTGAACTGCATTTACATAGTCCCAATGAATTCATTCCAACTGATTTTCATTTACTTTCAAGCGAAAAGACTCTATTACGACCAGAACTACCGACAAAAATCAAAGTAACATATGAAATTCAAGTTTGAAAGATTTTAACTGTTTTTCTTTGTTGTGTTTTCAATTATAGGAAAACGAATTCTATCGACTTTATTACGCTGAAGATTCATTTTATAAACTTCCAAAAGCTTATCTTTTTTTTGAATTTCGAAAGCAAGATTCATACTCATCTTTCATTACGTTTCACTTTGTGTTTTTATTATTATTAAATTTAGTCCTTTAGGAAGTGTTGATCCTATACATTCCAATATGAATGCAATATATATTGAATTAGTGGAAGATTCATTAACTGAATTTGTTTATCCAGCACAACTGGGAGGACTTCAATATGAATTATCAGCTTTAAACTATGGTATTCAGGTAAATTAATATTACAACCAGCCTCTTAGATGATGACATCACTCTAGATACATTCAATTCGTATAAAATTTCCCAATGATGAGTCCCAAAGTTTTAGTTCTACCCAGATCGATCGTTCCGGTCACCGGATACTGTAGGAACCGACCGGAAATATGCGGAAAAATCACCGTCTTCCAGAGGAAAACATGGGAAGTAGCTGGAACGTGGAAGCAGTATTCTGGTCGAAAGTTTTTCGGAGTTTTTCCCCATGATATACTATCGGCTTCGACTGGAAAGCACTGGAAATTGACCGGAATCCATCTGAATAAATCCGGGAATTTACGACCGGAATACTGCTTCCACCTTCCAGCGATTTCCCGTGTTTTTCGGTCGTTTCCCGCCGTACCGTCACGACGTGGGTATACCATGATGTATGACGGAGCAGCTATTGATTTTTTTATAAATTACTACGATATTATTTTTTAGCACTCTAAATTTTAAATAGAGTTTATTGTGTAAAGAATCAACTTCAAAAAGGCTACGGAATTTTTGAAAGTTTTATTATTCGTAGTCCAAATTTTCAAAATTTTAGAAAATGCATCGTTTTCAGTTCAATATAAATCCCAGTTTATTTAGAGCGCAAACTCAAAACTTGAAATTCATCGCTGAATTCATATAGGCATTCTGTGTTTGATAGTGATAAAAGCTTTTATTTTTGAAAAGTTTCAATAAATATCGAGTTAGTTTTCAGGCAAATGCTGATAAAAAAAGCTGCATTAAAAATAAAGAAAATACTGATCAAAAATGATAGTATACATGAAAGATCAAACGTCTTCTTTTCTTTCCATTTATTCATCTTAATTCTCATTGTTTTGAGAGTTCGATGTGAGAGGAGAACTATAATTTTGAATGGACAAAAGACAATATATTGTTTCTCCTACAGTTAACTGTCCATGGATTCAATCATAAAATACAACAATTACTTGATAAAGTTCTTGATCGTATGGTCAATATTAAAATAGAAAAACAAAGTTTTGAAATCATAAAAGAAAAAGTAAAACGATCATTACAAAATTTCCGTCGTGAGGTTCCTTATCAAATGGCACATTTTGGTGTTACTTATTTAACAGCTGAACATCAATGGAACAAAGATGAGTTACTTAGTTGTATTGATGGTAAGCTTTTATAAACAAAAAACATATTAGATGAAGAAAGCTCTCTCTCTCTCTCTCTCTCTTGAAGGCATTACAGTGCATGACGTAGAAGCATTTATTCCACGAATGTTAACTCGATTTTTCACGGATTCATTAATGTATGGAAATTTAACAAAAGATGTAAGAAGGATTAATTTATTTTTCATTAAAATTTTATTCTACTTTTATAGCAAGCACTTGAATATATGACTTCAGTTGAACGAAAATTTCAAGAAAAACGTTATTATCAACCACTTTTTCCTAGTATGTGGTTTAGTCAACGTGAATTAATTTTACCTGAAGGTTAGTTTCATTGGCTTAATTTCAAGGGAATTTCTCATTATTTTCTTATAGGCTGTAATTATGCATATTCAATGTTGAATGATGCACATAAATTACATGCAATTGAAATTTATTTACAATGTTTTCCGCAAACACTTGAGAACAATGCATTACTTGAATTATTTTGTCATTTGGTTGATGAACCCTGTTTCGATCAATTACGAACGAAAGAACAATTAGGTTATGTTGTTAGTGCTGGTGCACGTCGTTCACGTGGTGTACAAGGTTTTCGAGTTATTGTTCAATCAGCTCGAGAACTCGATCATGTTAATCAACGTATTGAATTATTTATTGAATCCATGAGAGTATGTATTAAAAGAAAAGAATCAAAGCCCCATAAAAGTTTGTGCCAGAAAAAAGAATCGATGGTTTCAGTTAGAGATGTGCGTGATCCAATTTTTTAAATCTCTTTTCTTAGTGAAAACTACCCAGAAGAATCATTGCTGTCATCTGAAATTCCACTGGAAACGGTCTGAAACAATTAGAAAACAGCCATCGTTTTTACTCCGTTTCAGATCGTTTGCTTCCACCTGGGTAGCCCAAAATAGATTTATATCAAGTTTGGAAATATGCCTAAATATAGTTTTCTACCTTCCTTTAGTTAACGAGATGACTTTGTTTTTTAATGTGAATGATATTTGAATTAATAGTATCATTCAATTAAGACCATAAGATCCCAGGTCGAACAAGTACGGTCGTTTACGACCATATACGGAGACAAAAAAAACGGTCGTTAACGATTCGTGTACATTAAGCCCATATACGATCTCTGTTTTCCTCCGTATTTTACCGTATATGGTCGTATTTCTCCGTTTACGACACGGCTATATATGATCGTAATACTGAGCATGAATTATGATCAAAATCGATCGTAGACGAACTCTGTAAACCTCGACCTGGCATACTCAAGTATAAATCTCCAATGTCGATTGGTATCATGTTTTCATTCATAATTTCAGTGGCTGCAGCTACATCCTTTACTTGTCGATATTGAGTGTTATAATAACTTGAATTATTTTTTAAACGATCAAGAATAAGCAATGAATGAAAATAATTAATTATATTGTCACTTTTAGGATTATATTTTAACAATGTCTGATGAACAATTTAAAAAGCAACGTGAAGGTTATATGGTTAAAAAACTTGAAGTACCAAAAAAAATGCGTAGCCAAGGAAATAAATTTTGGACGGAGATAACAAATCATCAATTTTGTTTCGATCGATGTAAGAACAAAAATATAGATTTTTGTTATTTCTTATCGGTTTATTTTTAGCGCAACTTGAAGTTGAAATAATCCAGAATTTGGAACGCAATGATTTAATTCGTTTCTATGATCATTACATTTCATTAAATTCAATTCATCGACGTAAACTGGCTCTTCATGTAAATCCATCTTCATTAGCTCTTCAAAAGCCTAACGATGAAACAAATAATGTTGAACAAGAATATGAAACAACTGCTACTGATGAAATAGAAACTGAACAAGTAGAAGTTACTATACCTACAGGCGCTATACACGAAGAAATAAAATTAATTGAACAGCCTGTTATAATAGAAAAGTTAAATGAAACAACAACACAAGAAGCTGAATACGTTTTACCTAAAAAGGAACTTAATCTACCACAAGTAAAATTCTTCAATATTTATGTTTCTTTCTTTTTCTTATTGTTTGTTGCTATAGGCTGAATGGATCGACAATATACATGTTTGGAAAAGTAAACTGTCATGCTATCCACTTGCTCAACCATATGACAAAATCGATGTACCTGTCCTCTGTAAATTGTAAAGAACAGTTTTTCATAATCATAGGTTCTTTTTTTTATAACCTAAATATTACTTTTTAATATTCGCTTAATTATTTGATTATTTCAGACAAAATTCCTTTTCTCTTTCGCGATCTGTTATGATTCGTGTTAAAACACAAGACCATAAATACTTCTACTCTGATAGATCTCTATATCTGTCTTCTGTTTTTCTTCGTATCCTCTACATATATCCACTTGGTTAAAGTACATATCTTGGAGAATGAAAAAAAACCACAGCAAGAAATAAAAATCAATGTTGAAATTTATCAGTAGTGGAACGTTTTTGTGATTCTGAGGATCAGAAGATAAATTAACATTAAATTTCAAGCGAAAGATCGTACCACATTACAGTGAATAAGCGTCGGAAACGAAGCGCTGTGATCTAAAAAAAGCATCGTGTGATGACATCGTCTCATTAATGAAGTGTACCTTCATTCAATATCAATATATTCCTCTTTTGGCGATGATATGGGTTTCATAAAATACACCTTTTGAAACATTTTCTATAAACTAGAATAGCATGTTGAAGTGTTGCTTCACTACAAAAACCTGATTTTTTTTATGAAATGTATTATTTCGTGCATTATTAAAAATTAAATAATTCAACTATCATGAATAAATAAAAGAAAATATGGCACGAAGAATGTGAAAGATGATGAAGTGACATATTCGAAAAAAACTATACATATCCGACAAGTAGAAAGCAACATTAATAAAATATCGTCGTGGACAACATCACAAAAGAAACAATATTCTAAAATAGATGTAAATATTATTATGAAATACGTCTCTTGGTTAACATTGAAACAATTATAATAATAAGCGAATTCATTTTTCGAATTCACTAATCCCTATGTACTCAGACTGAAGGGAAAACAAGAATTCAAAATTAAAATAAAACGAACTGCTATCTTATTTGCCCAGGTCGAACATTCCGGCCACCGGATCCTGTAGAATACTCCAGAAAATATGCGGGAAAGTCGCCATATCTTACAGGAAAACACGGGCAATCGCTGGAACATGGAAGCAGTATTTCGGTCAAAAATACGGCCAGATTTTTCCGGCGCTTTCTGGTAGTAATTGATCGGAAATCACCGGCAAAAATCCGAAAATTTTCCAACCAGAATAGTGCTTCCACAAAACCAACTGGAACCGGCCGCTTCCAGGCCGGACTGTTCAACCTGGGTGATTTTCTTTTATTTTTCTTGGGCATTCGTTGAGGACAAATCTTAATACAAATGTGAAATTTCATAATCACTTTCTTCGTCTGATATATTTTTCTATTAAAGAACAGCTAATTGTACTCACATCTGTTTCTATTGTGTTAAATGTTGAAGTCAGTATCATTTTTTAGAGTTTAATTAAAATTAGAAGCTTATGAATTCTAAAATCAAAACTAAATGATGAATATCACTTTACTATAAGAACTTTTGTAGAAAAAGCGCTACTTTTACATTTTTAGAATCCCCACAAGCATCTTTCACTAAGATAGATGTCGCCGTATGAACTTTTTAATGTTCAGAGATCAGAAAATTTTCTTTTCGTAATTGACAAGTATTAAGGATGAAATAATTTTCTGGAAAAAGTTTACCTCATAACATTTGATTTCATCAAAAGTGCATAAGTGCATATTGATCTCTACATTGATTGGATGACTAATATATATTTTGTCCATAGATTAGTATTCCATTCTTATTGGAGAGTGAATTAAAACGAGTGTGGTTGTCAGTTTATTGTTATTATTCTTTTTGTTAACTGTGTGTGTAGAACATTCAATAAAACTAGTTAAGAAATACACTCAATAACGCATTCTCTGCTTGATTTTTAGATACGTAGTCTTTTCTTATAAATCAACTAGAAATAATAAACATGGTTAAACAACACGGTTGGTATCCATATGAATTTCAATCAGGGTAAATTAATATATTGTTCTTGCATTAAAATTTTTTCGTTCCATATTTTGTAGAACAACAGTTGCTGTAGCTGGTGATGATTATGTTGTTGTCGCAAGTGATACACGTTTAACAGAAAATTATTCAATACAATCCCGTACACATAGTAATGTGTATAAAATGTATGTAGTTAATTTGTCAAAAATATATTAAATAATACGTGAAAATATATTTAGGCATAATAATTCGTTACTATTATCAACAGGTTTTCTTGGTGATGTACTTACACTTAAGAAAACTCTCGATGGTCGTATCAAGGTTAGTTGATAGCAAATGATCATATGAGATACAATAGAATAGAAATCTTTTTAGACATATGAATATACTCATAATAAACCGATATCAACGCCTGCTTTGGCTCAAATGATTTCAATTATGATGTATGGTAGACGATTTTTTCCTTATTATACAAGCACGGTTATAACTGGTTTGAATACTGATGGTAAAGGCTGTGTTTATGGTTTTGATCCCGTTGGTTCTATGACAGAACAACTTTATGCATGTTCAGGTAGTGCTATGCCACTTATTTTACCAATTCTCGATGCCAATGTAAGTTGTGTTTGTACAGATTAATTTTTTTGGTACTAGATTTCTTATTTATAATTTCTAGATTCTTGGTAAAAATACATCAAAACCAGGTCAAGTTAAACGAACAAAAGAAGAAACTGTTAAGATGATTAAAGATATTTATATGGCTGCATGTGAACGCAGTGTTGAACTTGGCGATGCTGTGGTAGTTCATACATTAACAAAAGAGAAAGGCATTGAAACCGATGTACATCCATTACGCAAAGATTAATTAACATGAAAAAAATACAAACTAAACTAATAGACGTGTCTTGTTAAAAAAAATTTTGTTTGTTTTTTTTCAGTTTCTTAAACAAGAACTTTAAACGATTGAGTTTCTTCTCTTTTCTTCTCTTCATCTCTATTCGCTTTTTATAGATATGCCTTTTATCGAAGATTGGATAACGCATCCGATGACTATCATCAATCGGTTGTATGGTAAAATTTCGTTTTATTCATTGTATGAGAATATTCAGATTGGTTTTACTTAGACAAATCACCAAGTACATTTGAAAATGACGTGCGAAATTATTTTCAATCACATATTGATAATCCTGCACTGTATAAAGAAATTCCATCATTAAATGATCATCATGATGAATCTCCATTACCATCTGGTTGTCTTGTGCGTTATCGTGCCATGGTACAAGATATGGCTGATGATGAGATTTATTGTAGTAAGTTTTAGTTACTGTTTATTAGAACTCTCATTAGGTTGTTTCCGAAGAAACATTGTGCTTGTAATTCTCCACTGAATTTTTTACGACTTCACTCATAGCAATTAAAAGCTTGAAAGTCAGAAATGATTTTGAAGGTTTCGATCGTAATGAAAAACGGACTATTGTAGGGAGATGCATTTTACACTCGCTCAATGGCTAGCATGAAACGATGTGAGTCGATCAAAAAAAAATCATGAATATCAGTTTTTTTGAAGACTTCTCATAGATTTGTATAGTAAACTTATTTATTAGTTATATAAATGATTCGAGTAGTTAGAAGTTGGAACTAAGAAAAATGTGATAAGCAACAAGGAAATAAAAACAAAACAAAGAAATCATTTCTCTATTAATTAACAATTGTCCAATGGAGCTTATTGAAATGAATTATATTTGATGTTAATTTTAGCTCATTACAAAGTTCGATCGAATGATCATCATCGAACTGAAATTGAAAAATCGGCTAAATTCATGGATTTATTTGTATGTCCTGTAAGTAGAATTTTTGCCATTTATCCGAGACATTTAAAATTCTTTTTGGTCGATTCTATAGCCTGGATACAGTATTGTTGCACAAGAGCCACCCAGAGAAAAGTTTGGTTCACGTCAATGTTTTACATGCGTTCCTATTCCAAATGAAAGTCAATGGGTTAAAGATACTTACCAACTTTATTTTGGTGAACAAATGACGATGCAAAAACGGTAAACAAGCATATTCGATCCATTTACATGTATTGAAAAACAAAATTTTCATTTATTAGGCCCATTCATGAGCAAGATAATGTTCAACAATTACTATCGCCTCTCAAACGATTGAAAGCTAGTGCACCTATGGAAACAACTGATGGTAATTCTGAAGCAGTAACAAAAGTAGAACCGGTAAAAACAATTGCAAAATCGAGCTGCATGGTTAAGGTAATTTATATAGAAAGGAATATTAGTTCGAAACATTTTCTAGAGAATACTTTTTTTCCCTATAGGTGTACGATACTGCTGATGATATGATACTGAATACAATGGTAGAATTTATTGGAATTTATTATGATCATAGTGTCATCAAAGCTGATAGTCTTCAAGCACTGTAAGTCTCCCGAGTTCCATTGAACAGTTATTAACAACACATAATAACTAGTTCTAACCATTTTTGATTAGTATAAACAATCTGCACAAGTATTCATACAAACTATTTAGTTGAAAAAAAAAGATTATGAGGCTGGTGTGTAGCGAAAATCGCAGATGAAAGTCTTGTGAATGAGTTTCACATGAATAGTTAGTTGAGAGGTCGAATAACTCAAGTTTAACTAACCGTGAGCTGGAATTTACCAAATTCTATTCAACTTATACGGAGAAAAGGCAAACAATTTGTTTTTGCTTCACGCAATCATTTACTTTCTTTTTCATATATTGTTTAACTTGGAAGAAAGCGTCGAACTTTTAAAGAATCAAAATAAATCTATCATTCATCTTTATTTTAGAATCCTTTTCATATGTCTAGATTTATCTATTCGTTTCGGGATTCAAATTTGATCTTTCCATAAAATTCTGATATATTGACACCTAAAATTCCTATATTTAGTTGTTCCAACCTATAAGGCATTAAATCTTGTTTTCTTCCCTTTTAGTAATGAAATGGATCCAGATCAAGTGCCACATGTAAAAACAATTCATTGTATTCAATATAAAAAATTATCTCATAATAATCCCATACTATATAACTTACCAACTATTGAATCTAGTCAAAGTATATAATTCATTAATTCTATCCATAAAATTTAAATAGAAAATAAATCTGGTATGTTTAGTTTTACTAGCTCGTCAATACACTCTTTCATTATTCGAATCTATTTTTCCGAATGATAAACTTCTTTGTGAATATCTATTATTACATATAATATCACGTATATATGTTCGACAACTATCAGTGGCTTATGGTAAATTATCATTAAATATATCTCATATATCAACTGAACAACTCAGTGGACTGGAACAATTACTTCAAACAATTTTACCACTTCATTCACGTTTAGCAATAACAGTAGATACATTAAATACAATGCAATTGATGCCTAATAAAGACGTCGCCATCGACGATAGTAATGCAAGTCAATTAAAACAAACGCCACTTCAATTACCATTCAATTCACATTTACTTATTGATGAAACAAAAATGGAATGTGGACAATTAATAACTCTTGGTAAGAAAACAAAAATCTATGACTATTTACACGTATAACAATCTACTTTTAAAGGCCTTAATAATATAAAGTTACTACAAGATCTTCTTAATCTACAAACACTTAAATATGAATTTCATGTTTATCAGCTTGATTATGAATGTGACGTACGTTGTTTGATTGTTTCGTCAACGAAGTCAATTTTACCCTGTGATGTTCATGTTCGTTATCAATCGGAACACGAAGTAAAGGATATTACATTTCCAAATATAGAAAAGGAACAAATTGATAATATTCGTTGTTATTTGACATATGTTGGACAACAGCTTGAATTTGATCAAGCAATGAATAATATTTCGTCAGATATTAATACGCATATACAAGAGGATTTTGTCAATATGCGTAAACAAAAATTATTAACAAATCTTGATAATTTTCATCATTTACTTGTACTTGCTAGGTAAGAAGAAAAATCAAGAAGTAATAAAAAATATGTTTATTTTATGTTCTTTTTCTTTTAGATTAGAAACTTTATCTTATGGTGAAAATGTTTTAACAGAGAATCATTGGAATCAGGCTAAAAGTCTTGAATTTACACGACGTCAACGTATGAATATCTAGTTCACTCTTTATTATGATTAGTTTCTTTATTTTGGTTTGTAAATATAAACGAAAAAAAAGATTGTTGAATAGGAGAATTATTAAATTTATGGTTTCATTTATTTTGGAAAGATTCCTTTAATTGGAAGTCAATCGTATGATATGAGAATTTTTCTGATGAAGACTGAAGTGTATGAAACGTTTCTAATACATAGATCATAACGTTAAGTAATACGTCTTGGAGTGCATGCTATCTATATACCGTAGTACACAATAATTTCTATTTCGCTATAGTACGTTTCTATAAAATTGAGTCAAACAATTTGTTTGCAGTTAGAAATAAAGTAGAAAGAATCTCTGGTGGAAGGCATTTTAAAAGTATTTTGTTTAATAATCTGAATTCTATTGTAGCAAAGTCTATTAATCGATATGATAATTATTTATATTTTGTTCTATTTTAGATATAGTTTAAGAATGACAGATGATAAAACACGTTTATCAGTACCATCATCAACAGCATCAAATGCCTCGAATGGTGGTACTGCAACTACGAATAGCAATAGCACAAGTAATAGTACATCAAAATCCAGTCAAAAAGATCTGAAGCCTAATTATACGCTTAAATTTACGCTAACTGGTCATTTGAAAGCTGTATCATCATTAAAATTTTCTCCGACAGGTGAACTGCTTGCATCGGGTTCAGCAGATAAAACAATTAAATTATGGGGTGCTCATGATGGAAAGTGGGAAAAAACTATCAGCGGTCATAAATTAGGTATATCTGATTTAGCATGGTCATCCGATAGTCGTTATTTAGTTAGTGCTAGTGATGATAAAACATTGAAAATTTGGGATGTAGCCAAAGCAAAATGTTTAAAAACCTTAAAAGGTCATACAAATTATGTGTTTTGCTGTGATTTTAATCCTCAATCAAATTTAATTGTAAGTGGTTCATTTGATGAAAGTGTGAAAATTTGGGATGTTAGATCAAGTAAATGCTTACGTACATTACCAGCTCATAGTGACCCAGTCACAGCTGTGCATTTTAGGTAAGTTCAATGAATTGAAATTTTATTTTATTTTTATTTATTTTTATTAAATAATAATAATAATAGTCGCGATGGTACAATGATTGTTTCTTCTTCCTATGATGGTCTTTGCCGCATATGGGATACATCATCTGGCATGTGTTTAAAAACCTTAATCGATGATGATAATCCACCAGTTAGCTTTGTGAAATTTTCTCCCAATGGTAAATATATTTTAGCAGCAACACTCGATAATACATTGAAGTTATGGGATTACTCAAAGGGCAAATCATTAAAATTATATACTGGACATAAAAATGAAAAATATTGTTTATTCGCAAATTTTTCTGTTACTGGTTCTAAATGGATTGTATGCGGTTCAGAAGATAATTGTGTTTATCTATGGAATCTACAAACAAAAGAAATCGTTCAGAAACTTGAAGGACATACTGATGTTGTGATGTGTTGTGCGTGTCATCCAAAAGAAAATATTATTGCTAGTGGAGCATTAGAAAATGATAAGACAATAAAATTGTGGAGAAGTGACATTTAAAAAAATATATATTTGTTTTATTGTCTTTTGTGTAGATATCATTCCTTCTGTTTTGTATTAATTAAAAGTGTGTTCTTTATTATCTCGTCATTGTCGTTTATTGAATATAAACCAAGAAAAAAAATGAATTATATGAACAAAAAAAACTATATGTATCCCTTTTTTTAAAATGAACATTAATACGAACATTTTCTGTTGGATAGCCAAAAGGACACATTTGTTTTGTGTCCTACCAGACAGAAGATTTTATTTGTTATCCATTCATAATAAAATAAATAAATGTGTATATTGATATTACCCTGATGTTTCAATACTGTAACAAAAACTAAATGGTATTGTTGGTATACCAATATGCTTTACATCTTTATTCGCTTACTGAGTGGTTTCGTTTTTCGAACGACACGCTCAAAATGAATCTATTGTTAAAGAATTTTATGCATATGGCCTACGGATGTTGCAAGATAGAATAAAAAACTTGCTCACATTTTTTACTTTAGCTGTATGTATAAATGTTCTTGTTTAGAGCGACCTCTTTTTCGTTTCGTGGAGGCTTGATGCCATTTTTTTCAATGGACAAAAAGTGTCTGTATGTTAAAGCGTGTAGATGAATTATCTCAACTGGTATAGATATATATAAGAACATCCATTGTTATTGTCGATCGATGTCTCGTGTATATCCTACATTCAAATAAATTTGCTCAAAGATTATTGTGTAGAATGAAATCCCTTAGTAGTTGCGTTCAAGAATTCATTAATCACCATTCATCAACGCTTTTCCCATCAGATAATACAATTGATATTCGTCGTCCTCGATTAAATAGATTCAATTCTGCTTCCACATCATCTGTTGATATCGAAGATGAAGATCCAAGTTTGTTATTACTTTAAATTGTAAACGAAACAATACTTGACATATAAATTTTCATAGACCTCTTTGTTATCACACCACCAATTGAATATTTTCTTGATCTTTCATCTCGACAACGTCGTGAACAGTTTTTCAAAGTAATTCTTCTTCCTAATTTTTATATATACTAAAAATTTTGTTTCTACAGTTAGTTCAACCTGGTCATTATCTTGTTTGCAATGTACTTACTGCTAGTGCACGCGATATGCTTGTACGCATTCTATGTTTTGATGATGGACATCGACGAGCATTACACGATCTTAAACTAACTGTAAATAGAGTTTCATGTGAATAATTAATAAAAAATACATATGTCAATTCTAATTTGAATCTAGGCGACTTGTTTATTGAATACATCAAGTAGTAAGAATAGTAGTAGTTTTCGAAAAAAGAATAAATATGATCGAGATGTGCAAGAAGTTAGCGATGATGACAAGGACGATGGTGAATATCAAAGTGGAGATTTTATACGAGGTAAATTTATTGTCGTTTTTTCAAAAACGAAGCTAATGCTACTGGTTTTTCTAATTATGCTTTCAGCTTGTGTCAATCATGTCGATACACACAAAGAAGAAATTCAATTAACAATTGATTCATCTACGAATCGTATGTTTTCGTAATCAGTCTTTTTTTTGTATTTTTCTAATTCTATTCGGGTTTTAGAACATCATCCTTCGTCTAAACGATTGGTATATATTTAAGATATTGTAGTTTATTTCAAGTAACATTTCATTTTTATTTAGGGAATTATCAATGAAGATGATTTACCAAAGCATTACACGTAATCAAAAAAAGTTACTTTTTGTGTTCGAATATTAGAAAAGCTTAAAATATTGAGTTCTCACTCGAACTGAACCAGACAGTTAAAGCACAAGTTTCGTTGCTATCGAGTTTTATAGGAAGTCTCTTCTAAAGACTAAAGCAACCATCTGGATTATGTGGAAAAAAAACCTTCGAATACGGAGCAGATAATTTCAAACAAATAATTAGCATTGATTTCTATTTTCTAAACAAAATTAAAGGAAATGTATGAGAGACAGATGAAATTCATAGCGCCGCAGTGAGTGATATAAATCCTTAGATAACGAGATGTTTTAAAGGAAGACTCACTTCTTTTATGTTTTATCTATGTGAAATCAATCGCTTTTAGAGAGGCAAAAATTTCAATGACATGTGTCTTTCTAGTTTATTACGTCGACAAGAAGAACAACCTCAGTCATATGAAGATATTCTACAAACATCAAAAGCACTGAATAATCGAGCGTGTGTTCAAACGCTTTATCAACGATTAAAAAAACGATTTGATTATTTTCATTCTGACAATACTAAAGTTGAATCATCAAATGATATATTACATATGACATTAGTGAATTCATTCAAAAAGTAAAATATATTTCTTCAAAACAAAAATTCATTTGTTTCTATTTCAATAATTAGTAAACAAATACCGTCGGATGAATATTATGATAAATTACGGCAAAAGCAAGATCATGCATGGGCAATGGAAAGGCAAGATAAATAACGTTTAGAACAGAATCATAAGGCTGCTTTTGTTTTCAGTGTTGCGGTTGGCGTGCGATTAATGAAAGAAAATGATTCGAATTCAGCCGTACTTCACTTCAATAAAGCACTAAGTACAGATCCAAAATGTGTTGATGCACTTGTTGCACGCGGTGCATTATCAGCAAACCAAGGTCATTATAAACGTGCAATGCAAGATTTTGAAGATGCCCTTAAAATCGATCACAAACATACGAATGCATTAAAATATTTACATGATGTATTAAATAATATAGCGAATGAGTAAGTTCAATTCCAATGAAATTATCAAAAACAAAAAAGAAAATACATGTTCAGTCAACTGAGGACATAACATAAAACTCAATCTTTACTGCTATTCGTTTCTTCATTTTTCTTTTTCACATCGATGGGAAACCGCCGTATTTTCTATAACAAGTCTAAATCTTGTTTATTAATAAGTTCCTTTTTGTCTTCGGTTGCTTGAAGGGGCAATCATAAAATTCCGAATATTTCTCTTTGAGAAAAATAATCTAAGCGTCAGAAATTCAGAAGGTATTTATTTAGTACGGATGATCCCGATATTGCAATACATTATCTTGAAAAAGCATTGAAATATAAACCAGATGATAATGAAGCAAAACGAAAATTAGCGTCATTACGTGCAAAGGTAATAAATAGGTTATTTTCTATTTAAAAACAACTTCATAATTGTAAAATTAGAAAAAAGAAGCGGCAAGAAAATTGGAATATGGACCAAATCTACCGTCGAGTTTGCAATCGTGTGTATTATCTTTTTTAATAGAAAAATTTGAATTGAAGAAAATACTTTCCTTTTGTTGAATAGATCTTCGAAAGACAAAGCATATTCAAGATCGCCAAAGAGACGAAAATCATCAGTGAAAGGGTGAGAATAATGGCACGTAGTAAATTCTTCTTGGCATCCCATCGACATTCTTTTGAGTTCATCGTCAAGTCACAAACGACCCAAACGATCGAGTTCAAGTACCAGTAATGGTAGTCGATCGAGTTCATCATCATCGTCATCTTCATCGAGTAGTTCTACAACAAGTGATTCTTTAACAACAATATCCTCTTCATCATTATCGGATACGATGGAAAATAAAAAATCCATGAGTATACCAATAATTGATATTACAGAAAGGTATGCACGAAAAATTAGTCTATGAATCAAAAATATTTCTTTCTAAATTTAATTCTAGTGATAAATTGACTACTACTCGAACTAGGTGTGCATTCTTTCTATTTTTGTTTTTGTATCAAAAAATATCCTTCGTTTCGTTCTCTGTCAAGTACTCAAAGTGTTTCACATGAAAAGCCAAATCCAATCGAACGGCAACCTTCTATAAAAGAACAAAATAATAAAAATGGAAATAGGTTAGTATTTAAAGTCATTTTGATTTCATAACTTAACTTAGTCTTACACGTGAAAGTATTATTTCAACCATAAGTCGGTTACATTCCAATGATCATTCATCGAAAGAAAAACAATCATTTGAACAAAGAAAAACACTACCATCAACTACTATACAATCGTCATCATATAAACAACGACAAGAATCTTCATCATCAAATAAAAACAGTCGATCTCTTCCTTCGGATCGTGAAGCTGACGATATTGAAAAACTTTACATGGAACTTAAAGCTAAAAAATCTATGGAAAAACAAAAAAAATAATGTTTTCATTCTGTTTTGTGTGCTTGTTTAAACATCGCTCTGTACTGTTTATTAAAAATAAACATTATCAACATATTAAAGTATGTGCAACAAAAATATAAAGATGATTAAAGATTATCCGAAAAATAGTCATATCAGAAAACTTCATACCAAAAAAAGGTGATTTCTTCCCTCACAAATATAAATGAGATTTTATCAACGTTTCTCATTGAAATTAACATTAACGTTCAACTAATGAAGAATTCATTTTTCATGCATGATGACGAGTATAAACAACACAATCAAGGCATGACTACGAATCGAACTAGTTCTAAGAAAGTGCACTAGTTGGAAAATCGACAATACATCTGGTAGTGGCGAAAACATGATTTTTATTATTACAGGTGCAAAATATCAATAATGCAATGTTTTTGAAAACAATTTTTGCAAGCAATTATTTCCACGAGGAGAATTCTGATGTCTGTGAGTTTTAGAAACAAGAACATTTAGTAAACATATTTGTTGTTTTCTAAGTACAGTGTTCGAACATAGTTTTTAGAATAGGCATATGAAAAGAATAGCTACATATGTAATCTTTAACTGGCACTGACAAAAATAAGTGCTCGTTAGTCTCTTTCTAACTAAGAAAAACATGAACGAAAAGAATTAAGATTTAGCTATGTACTTGTAGTATGATCCGTATTTTTAGAAGAAATAAAACAAAATGCTCAATATGATTTTGTAGAATCTTATCTAAATTCCACTGATTTATCGTGCGGTATACCGCTTTATTCTTATTATAAAACTTTTTTGAAATTAAAATTTTTTTGACTAATTTACCGGTGCTAAAACTCAACTATTTTTTGGCATAACTTTTAACAAGTATCTGACGTAGATGAGAAGCGATCTTAGTGGGATACACCATGATGCATTAATATTTGATAGTGAATTTCGAAGCATCTCATTAATCAAAAAAAGTACAAATATTTATTTTATGATTTATCATATTCATTCACACACTGCCCGTTCGATTCATTAACTATATAAAATAACCTGGTCTCTTTTCGGCTCGTGCTTGATAGATCGCTATATGTTGATAACAGTTTTTGTTGAACTCATCAGTTCTGGTGACTTGTAAACTACAATAATTTTTCAATTACTATATAAGAGAATGAACCATGCCTCTTGATTTCAACTCCAAATTGAGTAGTGTAGTTATATTCTACATTGTAACGTTTTAAATCAATATGCCTGACAACGTAACTTTAATGCAGCATCATTCAATATGATGTCTCAGTTAGAACTCTGTTGCAATGCACTGTCTATTTGAAAAAACAAACAATGAGATTTTATTTTTCATGTACATCAAGACAACTGCAAGATATCACAAAAACTCGGTCTTTATCGTAATTATACTGTTGTATGATATGAATTAATAAACTAGACATGAATGCAAAAAACATTGTGCAGGAATGCGAAAATTAAGCGAACATCTTTTAAAAAACTTTTCATTTTCTTCCGTCGCAATTTATTTTTCCTGTAAGTATAGGAATAAAGCCTACTCGAAAGATGTCGCAGAGTTCTTATCAATACGTAAATTTATATTCAATTGGACTGACTCATCATTTAACCTAGTTTCCAATTTTTTTGGTATAGGGGTAAGAAAGAAAGAAATAGGTTACAAACAAATGTATTAGTAAGAAAATCTTTGCAATCGTCTTTTTGCACATAATAAGTATCACTCTATATTTAGTGACGCAACAAAAATAGCGACTTTAAATTGCTTGCATCACTTTTCTTACATACATAAATATCTCATAGAAAGAAAGATTTTTTACACTCTAGATCAGTAAAAAAGGAACTCAACAAGAAATAGCGTATTCCAACAAAATGGATGCACTTCTTAATCGATTAAAACAACAGGTTTTTCTTAAATTTAATGCATACAAACTTTCATTGTTTTCTGTTCATTCTATTAGGAAGATGTAGTCAAAGAACTTGAAGCACAACTATTTGATCGACCGGAATTTAAAGATAATCGTAAACTTGAAGAATTACGAGTCGAAAATGAAAAATTAAACTATCGAGCAAATATACTTGTTCGAGTAAGCAAAATAGAATAAAGATTTAGAAGATTTCATTGACTATACATATATTGTTTTTCATTAGAATATTGAAGATTTGAAAAAACAGAAACCACAAGAGAATGTAGCAGGAACTAAACAAGATGATAATAAGGATAAAAAAGAGGCAACAAAAAAAAAGCAAACAGAAACTAAACAAGGTGATTCTAAGAATAACAAACATCAATCCCATGCAAAACCAACTGAACCAAATCAAAATGATAATAAAAACAAAAAAACAGCTACAGCAACAACAGTGGCACCAATTAAAACTTATTTTACCGCTGGTGCACAAGGCGATAGCGAACATTCGTATCGAATATTAGATACATTGGTTGGTCTTTTTGAACAAGCTATTCGAAAGGCTTTTCCTGAGGATCCAACTTTACCGGTGCTTGTCGTACCTGGAAAACAAACTGATTATCAATGCAACTCAGCTATGTCTATTGCTCAGGTTAGAAGGCATAATAATAATAATAAATATATACTTTGGATTCTTTTCTGTTCGTTTTTTTTTTGTAGAAATTAACTGCTGCTGGTAAAAAAATAATACCAACTGATGTTGCTAAAATAATTACTGAACATCTTCCTGCCCATGAAATCATTGGAAAAGTTGGTTATCACTTAATGGTTATTAAAATAACAATTGTTCATTAATATTTATTTAGATTGAATATTCCGGACCAGGATTTATTAATATTACTATTGCAGCAGCATTCGTTTGCGAACAAGTTCGAAAAATTCTATTGAAAGGTGTTTTACCACCCGATGTGTTGGAACTGGTTGGTAATCATGAAACTCAGACTAAAAAGAAGAACGCAAGAGTTGTTATTGACTTTTCATCGCCGAATATTGCTAAAGAAATGCATGTTGGACATTTACGGTAAGTTTATCACGAGGCAGATCAAAAGTGTCAGATTTAAGATCTCATTAAAAACAAATGCTTTTGAAAAGAAATACGTCGAACCTAAAAAACGAACTAGCCTATCACCATTAACGATTCATTTTGTCTTTGCTTTTGGTAAAAAAGTGAAATGTACAATTTCACTGGTATTTTCTTAACACATGAAAAGATACCATTAAGAGTAGCAACTGCTCTTTAAGAACACATTGAACCCATCTAAATATCTTGATCTAATGATTCACAGATCGATGTGTGTTTACTGGAAATAAGATATCACAACAGTAGAATATTCTAGTGCTCATTCAACCGATATAGAAGATGAATTTCAGATTCTTTAATCCGGTGTTTATTTTTCTCTTTACGACAGTAAGATATTCTCCTTTCATTTTATATCATACTATTTATTACTTTTGAAAAGATTCGATCGTACATGTGTTTCAATACAATTTCAAGAATGAACCAAAACTATATAGGTCTATTATTTATTTATTTCTATAGATCAACTATAATTGGTGATAGTCTTGCTCGTCTTCTTGAATATGTTGGCTTTGATGTACTTCGATTAAATCATCTCGGTGATTGGGGTACTCAATTCGGTATGTTGATTGCTCACATGCAAGATATTTATCCTGAATATAAAACAAAATCACCACCAATAAGTGATCTCCTATCCTTCTACAAAGTAAAATTAATTGCATGATAAAATTTCTTCTTAAACAAAACCTAATTATTAGGCATCGAAACAAAGATTCGATTCAGAGCCTGAATTTAAACAACGAGCCTACGAATGTGTTGTTAAACTTCAAGCATTCGATCCAGATATAATTCATGCATGGAAACTTATTTGTGATGTATCTCGACAAGGTTTGATCAAATGAAAAATTTTATTTATCTATTTTCATTTATGATATTTTAAATAATAATTTAGATTTTGAATATATTTATAAAGAACTCGATGTCAAAATAATTGATCGAGGTGAATCTTTTTATCAAAACCGAATGCTTGATGTGGTTAAACAACTTGATTCAAAAAGTAAAATAATAATTGTCATTTAGAATAAAAAAAAACAATATGATTTTAATTTTTCAAAATAGATTTATTGAAATTAGAAGATGGTCGTAAAGTTATGTTTCTACCGGATATAGACGTTCCCATGACTATTGTTAAAACTGATGGAAGTTTTACATATGATACAAGTGACATGGCCACAATACAGCAACGTCTAATGGAAGAAAATGCTGATTGGATAATATATGTTATTGATTCGGGTCAAGTAGGTCATTTCGATCATAAACATATATATTTGATCTCAATATGAAATATAGGCCCTTCATATGCAATCAGTGTTTGCTGGAGCAAAATTAGCTGGATGGACTGAAGGAAAGAATGTTCGAATAGATCATGTTGGTTTTGGTGTTGTACTCGGTGACGATAGGTATGAACGTAAATTATTATACGCACAATGTCCTATAAATAAATGAGTGATACAAATATCATATCCATTGAGTCTACTTGAATCAATTACGCTTAGTTTTTTCTCACTCAACAGTGGAGAATTTGCCAAAATCTTTTTGATGTAAGAGGAATCTTCTAAATACTAGACGCTCTCGTGTACGAGAATTATAAATATCAAGAGACAAATAAATATATTGCTTAGGAGTCCTCTAGCCATGATAAATTTTTAACACACATCCGACAGTTAAGTCAAAGAGACGTCTAGCTTCTTTCATTTTGCTACGGATAGAATTTAAAGCGAAAATGAGTCTATCATTATAGATCATAACTTCTCTTCAAGTCATTTCATAGAGAATGAAGTAATCTCTTTCATCTAAATTTATTAAGTAAGATATAACGTGAAGTTTTCCAAGATCAATTTCTAAGAACGGGTGAGATACACTTACAAATTTTAGTATTTCTTCCTTGAAATCAATAGTACCATCTATCTAGTCGTACGATTGATTCAAAAGTACTAGATGTATTGAAGATTTTCTAATGGTCTAGTTATTTTTCGATCATTCAATTAAGACATTGATTTATTTGATTTTCTATTTTGTAGCAAAAAACTAAAGACTCGAGCCGGTGAAGCAATTCGTTTACGAGATCTACTTCACGAAGGCATTGAACGATCAATGGCTAAATTAAAAGAAAAAGATCGTCATAATGTAAAAAATCTCTTTTCGTTTAAAAACTATTTTTCAATTTGATGTATTTTTGTTAAGGTTTTAACACCTGAAGAACTTGTAAAAGCTCAAAAATCAGTTGCTTACGGATGTATTAAATACGCTGATTTATCTCATAATAGAAATTCTGATTATATATTTTCATTCGATCGAGTACGAAAAATATATTTGAAGGTTTTGTTGTTTGTTCTAAAAATTTAATTTTAGATGCTTGATGACCGAGGCAATACGGCTGCTTATCTACTTTATGCCTATACTCGAATTCGGTACTAGAAATATTTTTGTTTTACCCGATTTTTTTCTTATTAACTTAATAAATAGATCAATTGCTCGAACTGCTGGTGTTGATCATGCCGTGCTCAAATCAATGGCACAAGACATCGAACTTAATTTTGATAGTGAAGAACGAGAATTAAAATTAGCTAAATGTATAGTTAAATATCCTGATGTTCTTACACGAGTACTCGACGAATTATTGATGCATGGTCTATGTGAATATATGTATCAATTAGCAACATCATTTACTGAATTTTATGATCGACACTATTGCGTTGAAAAAGATAAAACGACTGGCGAAGTTCGACTTAATTATCGACGAATACTATTATGCGAAGCAACAGCAAATGTATTGAAACAGTGTTTTGAAATTTTAGGTATTCAAGCATTAGAACGAATGTAATTCTCATAAAAAGTAATCTGTTGTTTCACAAGAAAAATCATCAACTACTTTTTGTTTCTTTTTATTAAAAGAAAATAAAATCACAATAAGAAGTGGCATATTCAAGATGAATTAATATTTGCATGATAAATCATTAATTTATTGCTATTCATCATTCGACGAAGAATTTTGTATTGCATAAGGGATAATTTCAACGTTTTCATAGGTACCATCATCTAGTTTAAGAGTGAACTCTAATTGAAATGGATTTTGTGGACGAGCTTCTTTTGTTGTGATACCACATTCATTTAGACGTTTAGTATCGGCATCAAGTATTTGACCTTTTGAAATTAAACGTATTATATTAGGATCTAAGTGAAGTATATAACCAAGAGTTTGTTTTAATTCGGAAACAGTTGCTGTTTCAGCAATATCAGTGAATATTGTCATTTTCGCACGGCGAATTTGTAGATAGCAATCTGGATATATAGTCAACTCTGTAGCTAATCGTTGCATCTAGAAAGGAATGGAAAATGAAGGATACAAGAAAGGTTTTTCATCTGAATTTTTACGTTCAGACAGAAAGAATAACTATTGCTATGCATCTAAGAACATGATGAATTCAAATAGAAAAACAAACTATAGTTAAGAAGTCAATAAAACAGAAAGATATTCATAAGGATAATAGATATCAATCTAATTGACGTTTGAGTTCGGCAATTTCTTTGTCAATTTTTTGTTTTTTAGCTTCCAGTGCAGCAATGCGTTGTCGAGGTGAATCTCCTGCATTTTTTGCACCGGATTGTTCTTGACCAGATTTGTTACGTGTAGCTCGATATTTTGCTGCTTGTTCAGCTTCCTAATTAAACAAGAGAAAAGATGTGATTGATTTTTCAGTTGAATAGTATTCTTACTTGACGACGAGCCCAACGTGTTTCTTCAGCTTTTTCTTTCTTACCGAATGCACCGTGATCAGCACTATATTAATAAATAAAATAATATTTGAGAATGAGAACACATCTATTTCTATGCATACGCAACAGAACCAGATTCCGGATCAGTTGCCGATGCAGTTCTGAAATCAAACACAAAAATTGTACAAAAATTGACACATAATTCCTACTTTACCGAACAAAATTTAATGTGGAACGAGCCACACGTTGAGCAAGAACCTTGTTTGATGAAGTAATTATACGAAACATTATCTTTTTTAAAAACCTGAAATGACAAGAATGAAAAGAAAGTGACGAAAAATATTTGCCAGGAATGAAGTAATAAATGCAACGAAAACCAGCGCTCTGCTATTTATTACAGAACGATAACATTTTCATATAGGCTGTTTGTTTCCGTTGTATAGAATCATGCGTGTTCGCTAAAAAAATCTACGTATTATTTTTCATGACGAAAGAGTTTAGTAATCACTGATAATTATTACATGACGATCGACGACATCTATGAGAGCTATATATATATATATATAGTTTTACAATGCAACAGCCATTATTGATTCTACTATGTAGATTCATTGAAAAAGATGAAATTTACAGAAGAAAGGTAAACACAGAAAATGCTTGTAAAAATCCGATAGTCAAGCATACTATTCATCGTTTTTGTATTTCTTTTTTTTTATTGAAACAATCTTATTCGTTTCTATCGAATAAAATAACGAATTGACATATTTGTCATGTGTTCAACCTTTGGAGGCTCAATATAGGATTAAAAGATTTAGAATTTTATAAATATACTATTCAATAATTTATCTTAGATTTTTTCCATTATTATGATTGTTCATCTTTGTAGAATTCGTTCCATTCCCTGACAAACATCATCAAGCATTTCTGTAACAATGGAAACTACAGAGAGCAGCACATATCATTGAGTTCATGCTTTCTTGGTTCATCATGAAAATTTTTAATATAAGATCAAATGACTTCCCAAGATTTCACAGTCGTTAGGTTTGACAACAATGTGTCTGATCTTTTTAGTGATGCTAAATAACACTTTCTGAAACAACAAAGGAAGGAACCGAGATAGCTGAATACCTACAATCATGATAAAAATAGAAAATTAAGTCCTATGATAGAAACTCTATATATTCAATTTAAACTATTACAAAAAGATTTTATTGTGTATTGAAGCTGAAAATCATATCTTGAAGAAATTTCCACGAATTTCAATTATACGGACAGCATACTTGAAAGGGTCTCTTAGCACTAGTTCAAAAGAAGATATCAGTTGATTGTATTAGAAGAAAAGCAATCACATTTATTTTCTATAGTAACTTTGGAAACATCCTGCTTATACACTAATTACATGCAAGATTTGAATTTTTTCATATCTATTTTCTTACGATAATTAATCAAAAGTTATTCTATCTTGAAAAAATATTAGCTGCCATTGGATCATTTCTCGACATTGAATATCATCTACTCTGATAAATTTACAAATCAATTGTCTAAAACAGATACGCATTGAGAATATATCATGTGAAGATCATAAAAACATTTAAAGATAATTAATAGATGTTAGCATCATTGTCAAAAAGAGATTATATGATAAATATGCATCTTAGAACTATCTATCAAGATTCTTAATCAGCGCTCTGATTATATAATTATGATATTAAAAGAATCAAATCCTACTAGTCAATAAAAATTGAAAGTTCTCTACTAATTGAATAAGTCTCCGCATCAAAATACATTTCAGTAAATATGTTCTCGGTCATGATTAAGAAATTTCTGTAACAATCTTAGATAACTATCTAATTGCATTACATGGTGAACCAATATAACATGCGCATTATTATAATCGTATAAAAGATGAATTCCTATTTGATTGTTATGCTTAAGCATTTGAATCCGTCATCACATTTTATCAAAACCTGATCAGATGCCTGTACAAATATTTTATTATGGGTTAATATTTTGTTTTCGAACGAACCCTTCTACATCTATTTTACATAATGATTAAGAGATAGAATCAAAAAATAAACATGAAACCTATTTAAGTTGGAAAATCAGCCCATTCTTTTTGTAGAAACAGAATTGTGTTTTCAAATAAGTGAAAATAATTGTCTTCAATTAATAATCGTTCTAATCATTTCAACATATCAAATGTCAAAATAATCTTTTGAAGAAAAACTGCTATGACCAAGAGGCAGTCCAATTTCTCCGTAAGAATCGTGGTTTCTTTCTTCTGCATCAAACGATTAAAAACAAACAATTGGCTTTGATTAACTATAGGTGGTTAATTATGACACATTAAAAGGAAGTTTTCATGCCCTTATTCAGCGATTTTTCTCAGAGACAAATTGTATATATAGGAAAATTCATAATTACAACTAAAGCAATATTAAGAAGTATGCGCCACATTTTCAAAGGATCAGAACAATAAACAATTTTACTTCGTTAGTATTTAGGAAAAGAATAGTCTAATTTGTCATACTTTATCTACTTTCCTGTTGATTAACATGATAAAATCAGTATCAATGATCAAAAAAGAAAGAAAACCAATATCGAGAGCGCATATCCGAAATTCATCAAGTTTACAGTGATGATCGATAAATATATCTTAGCTAGAATGATTTACTGATTAGAAATAGTATTAGTGGACAATTTTGTTCTATTATTGGAGAAAGTCACTTGCAAACAAAAAATCCTTTGTTCTGATTTTATTAACGACAGCTTGAGGGATTAAAAACAATTTTTTTCAATTTTGGTAATAATACTTTTGATTATTAAAAAATCTTTGTTCAGTTTATTAATATGCCATTCTTGAAATAGAAAAAAGCGCTTTTTTGGGAAAACTAACTTCTACTTACCGGAGAAACTCTTTGCGAGCAAACTTTGTGATATGACTCGACACTTTGTTTGACGATGGAAACTTCAGTAAAACTTTCTTGTAACTGCTAAAAATCACAATCAAGCGTATTTATTTTGGTTGATTGATCTTCATGTCGATCTAACTCAATAAATATCTTCAGGTCGATATTTTTTGACGGTATCGATATCTCTGATGATGTAGCGAATGAAACTTGAGCGAGAAATACTGCATTTTCTATTCGATACAAAATGCTACCGTTTGATTACAAAAGAAAAAGTTACTTAGTTGCATGACGTACAGTACGATTCTTTCGGAATGTTTACTGGAAAATGATTCTATTGTTACATACAATTATTTAATGATTTCATGCGTGGTTCCAATACGGAAGATTAATATTGTACCTTAAATAAATGCAAAATTTTCAACAATTATGTATTTGATTAACAAACAAAATTTTAATGAATATAATCTGTTTTTACTACAGAAACGGTAAAGACCTGCATGAGAAATAATTTGTAAAATAATAACAAGGACATTCTTCGTATATCCTCTATTATTCATATTTTTTCTTTTAATCACAGTGGTAAACTTTAGATAATTATGGCTCTATTATAAAAAGAAATCTTTTCCATAAACCTAATTATATACTTTCATGTATCTTCAACATTTTCTTTGTTTATGAATGTGTGGTATGCGAAAGTTATTTTATACATTTATTATTCTTATAAGCATCATACTTTTTCTTTGATGAATTAACTCGCTTCATTCAAGATTAGACACAAGATTCATCAATATAAATAGCAACTGTTATGCAGAAAATCTTATAGAAAAAATTGTTCTACTTTTCATTTTTCATATGATTATTCACTGATTACATTAACAACAGAAACTAAGTTTGGTTATAGCGAATTATATACCATACATATTGATTCATGAATATCGATGCAATTTTGTTCAATACACTTGACCTTGTAGTTATTTTAATAACAGCAACAGAAGTTTTTCATATTTTTGCTGTTGCTGCAATAGAGTGTACCAAAATAAAAATGACATGTTATTCGACATATTTATTCTGATCAGATAGCGCTTAGAAATTGATATGATCACAAAATTATCTTTTTTTTTCATTTCGTTAAATAAAACTGAAAATTCGCATTTGTTTTATTCATTGTAATACGATATGGATAGGTTCTGTTATTCATTAGAAAAGAAACGATTGATCATTCAGTCATTTTAATTGAAGGTTAAAACGAAGAATCGATAGCTAGACTTTCATCGATTCATTCATTTTATTTTATTACGTGTTATTTGTAAACAACTTGCCATGAAGTCTCGACCAGCTATAGTAGCTACTACCAGTGGTACTTCAACACCAGCCAAACGAACTCTATTTCGTATTGCATTAACTGTAGCTTTGGTCTGCATAACAGGTGTCACAACAATATTAATTTTACACGGTGGATTATCTCTTATGCGTCTTCGATATTTTGTTGACATTGGTGTACATCCTCGTCATGTAACATCGTTAGCATTAGTTATTTTTGGCATACTTGCATTATTAACATTGATGATATTAATAATCGGATTGATTAAAGTGAATAGATCATTAGCAATTGTAGCAGCGGTTCTATTAGGCGTCTGTTCACTTGGTCTTATTGCATTTAGTACTTGGTCATTCTTAACAATAGCTAGTGGCCAATTGGCAGCATCAATTAATAGTACTATTGTTAAAGAATTAGATCAAACTCAATATCGAGTTTCAACTGGGAACGATGTTGTCATCGAAAATACTCCTAAAATGGCACGACTAGAAAAACAACATCAATGCTGTGGACTAACTGATCCTATCGAAGATTATCGAAGTCGACAACCGGCTATATATGGATCGTTGAATCCATCGTCATCAAGCGGAAACAGTCATAGTAAAGGTAGAAATCCTCCTACGCAACGAAATACAGCAACATTTGGATCTTCTGTACAATTACCAATTAGTTGTTGTAATGAAAAATATCGTTCAGAAAATAATCTATGCATTGATATGTTTAGCAATAATACAAATCCAATTAATCGCTATAACATAGTTGGATGTTACGCTGTTGTTGCTCGACATAAATTTGGACGTATTCAACGAGAAGGTTTTGCAACTGTTGTAGCAGCATGTTTATCTGTTATTAGTTGCATTGCTCTTGCTGCTGTTGTACGACTTTTAGGTGAAGGTTATCAAATTGTACCATTTCGTACCATCAAATAAAAATTCCAAATTGTACCGAAATTGAACTTATCTTTTTTTCTTTTCTTTTCTTTTCTTCAATATTATTTTTTCCTCTTATGATTCCGACTTATGTGCTTTATTAATAAAAATAAACATAAGCTCTAATGATTCGGTTGCATTCAATATGATGTCCTATTTCCTGAAAATGCTAACTTGATACAAGTAAACATTTCCTCAAGTCAAATTTCATGATGAAAATAACCATTCTATCAAAATTCAAGTGCGCAAATACAAGAATGTAATATGATTTATATTCAACGACTGAAAAAAAGACTAAAATCAATTGCATCTGTCGGAATCGATAGAAATTTTGATCGATTTTCTTCTTCCTATTCATTCATGTCAATATAATATTGTTATAATTATACGATATAACTGATTTTCATCATACATCACAGTACGATTTCATTAGTTTTCTTTTGTTAGATTTGCCGCTATTTATTAAACACAATATTTGCATATTTGCTCTAATTCTAATAATATCCATAGTAGAGCCTTTTGCTTGTTATTCTACAAAAGATTTGTTACTAACTAGTAATATTTGTTTTTTGCGTTCTTCTTGTCCGTCTTCTTTCTTTTTTTTTTGTTCTTTGCTCCATAAAAATAAGATCAGTCAGATGATGAAAACAAATTTATGATAGATATTCATGCGCATATAGATACAATTAAATATTTGTAATACAAGGGGCGCCCATAAATATCTTTTTTCTTCTCTCTCTCTCTCTCTCTCTCTCTCTCTCTCGTTCCAGTGATGAAGATGGTCCATCTATCTTTGACTCTCGTAAAAAAAAGTCTTGCGGGAATAAAAGAAGATATGTAATCATGAAAAAAAAGTTCGATGAAGACAAATGATCAATTCGGTCATTAATACAAAAGTCTCTCTATAATAGGCTTATAGTGGAAAGTCGAAGAATTGTAAATGTCAATAAAGAGAATATAGGATTTTCTTTCGTCTTAATCATTTTCTGGCTTTTTTTTCTTTATATAAATGAAATCGAGCTCGCACTAGTAAATAGAATTTTTATTTATATATAAATATATATGACATGTTTATATTCCAATTTCCCATAAGGAATAATACTTTAAGCTATTAAGACATAGAAAAATAGGGCGCTAGCGTAAATATTAAAATAACGCGTAGACATTTGAACATGATAGGAACCGATCAAAACGAATCATTCAACTTGAGAGCTATTACGATCTCCATTATAGTTATACAGAATGCGAACAAAGAGAAGTCTAGATAGACCACTAGACAATGATTTGACGAATGCTGAGCTAGATCCAAAAAAAGAAAAAAAAGGAAAATCACGAGGAAAATAAAAACACATATAGCCGATAAAAATAAGACAACAACAACAACTATGCGACAGCCGACAACAACTTTTTTTCAGCGCTGATCTTCACTTAATGCCTTTCTCTTTCTGCTTTTAGTTCTTCCTGTTTTCATCGTTCTGTATTTTTTATAGGATCCAGCTACGTCTTATTATTCCTTGTAGTTGAACATTTCTAGCGGTGGATGCTTGCATGTGTGGTTCCAAAGTTAGCGCTTGTCTTTTCACGAATGTCCTTAAGTTGTTGGAAACAGAAACACACGGAGAGAAAAAATAAAATTATAGAAAGCAACTATGAGAAAGAAAAAAAAATAGCAGTGACCGCTTTTCAATCGTATGAGCTAGCAAGGTTGTCTTTTCATAATAGTTGTTTGTAAACATTTTTTTGTGCTTCTTCTTTTTCCAATAGGCTATTTATATAAAACAAAATTTGATCAACTGTTTGAGAATAGTCGCATTGTTTTCTCTTCGGTGATGCCCACGGGCATAATCGTTTATATTTGAACAATACGATAAGCTCAGCTAGAATATTTTCATCGTATGTTGGTAATAAAATGAAAGAAAGAAAGAAAGAAAGAAAGCAAGAAGCAAGTAATGCGCTATATTAATATTTACCAAACTATATAAATATATAAATATAGAAAAATAATTATTACTGATTCCGAATAGATTTATTTTTTCAGATAAAGCAAAACAATGTGTGATCAACCAATACAGATAGCTGTCTTAGGCGATAAAAGTGTTGGAAAAACAGCTATCATTCGTCAATGGTTATGCAATGATTTTTCAACATTATATTCTGAAACGAACTTAGCTACTTATCATTTTACTTCGTTATTTAATGGTCATCGTTTATTTCATATACGTATTATTGATACACCACGTTTTGATGATACAAATAATACTGATCCTCAACAAGAATGGGTGCGAATGTATTGCTTTCGACGAGCACATCTTTTCTTATTAGTGTTCGACATAAATCGTGAGGAAACATTCAATTACATAAAACAAATCTATCGTGAAATAGTTCGTGTACGTCTTGGTTCTAACTATAATAATCATCAACATCCGTATCCACATCCACATCAGCCTCATCATCCGGCACACCACCAATCTCATCATCATCACCATCACCATCATCCTCATTCTCACTTCCATCATCAATCAGAAATATTAACCGATCTTACGAATGATGATGACGATCAAGTAGCCACAAGGTCAACAGGATATGTACCTGTTATTGTCGTTGCAAATAAAGTTGATTTGATATCAACTGATTTGCGTTTTTCAAATATTACATTAATGAATTCACGTGATATACAACAGTATGTGAAAAAAAATTTCAAAGCAAATACAATTCAATGTTCTGCTAAATATCATTGGCATTTAGTTTTACTATTTCGAGAAGTTTGTCGAATGTTAGAAACTGTTGAAGATACGGTTGCTAAACAAGCCGCGCAACAGGCTCGAAGACGACTTCATCACCAACAAGATAATGATAAACATTGCCGCGTCATGTAATAGATTGCACTATTTTTTCCATCGAGTAACCAATCGATTGTTGCAGATAGACATGCAAGTTTCTTTTTTTTTCTTTCATTTATTTTTCATGGAACATTAATTAACATTAATGTCGATTTGCCTTATTTGTGTCACTGTTTGTGTTGATTTAGCCTAGAGAATAAATCAACGTGTAAAAGTACCTAGGATATGCATTCGTGTGCAGATAGAAAGCACAACAAAGCAGCGCTTGCTATGCAAATGAACATGTCAAAATTTGTTGATATGGAAAAAAGTCGTATAGGCAAAGCAATTTAACCAGTTTCAGAAGCCGTAAATCATGAGATAGACTAATAAAAGTTCAACATATTGATGGTCTCAGTGTAAAACAGGCAGAGACAAAAGAAGACTTTTATGGATGTTAATCTCACACAGAACATCATGATTTTTTCAAAGAAAAAAGTGTCTATCAATAAATATAGCATCGAAGACTTATAAAATGTGATTAACAATAATCCATCTCAAATCAGAATAAAAAAACATTTTACTTTTTCTATTCTAAGAACCACCTTACAGTCGATAATAAGAATAAACTAAGTCCTAATTTTCCTCCTTCAATTCAAGGACTAGGATAACTATTTATATGGAACAATATTTTATTTCTATGACGTAGAATTATCAATGAAAACAATGTTCTCTTTAAGAAAATAACAACTTCAAAAAACAGCAATGATCGATAAAATGATGAACTACAGATAAATTAGAATTTGTTAATAATCATTGAATAAATTAAATATTATTTCGAAAAAACAAAAGCTACTCTACTTCAATAATCATAATAATATCAAGAATGGAATTGTTTGTTGAATGTACGATTTTATAACCTTTCTCTAGTCAATTCGTACCTTCATGACCTTCTTCTCTATTCCTTCTCTCTGGTGCCTACACTTCTGTCTCACCTTTGAGTACGATTTTTGATTGAAGCGGAAATACACTCCCCTATGTGAGTCAAGTTCTATTACCTACCGGCACGTTTTTTTTTTTGTAACTATTTAATCAGGATAAAGAGAGAAAAATAAAGAGAAAACAGACCGACATAAATATGCATCTATTATAGAATGGTATGTATCCATTGCTGAAGCATGATTTTTTTAAACTGAGAAGCTAAATGCGTTGTTAATTTAAAACGCACTCATTATAACCTTTTAGAAGAATGGCAAGTATTGCTACTTTATCTGTGTTTCTTTTGGCGAGACAATGACGAAATACGAAAACAAAGTTTAAAACATGATCATATTTTACTTTGGCCTTTAGCATACAGTTGCATAGTTCGTATTAGTCAGAAGAATATCAGTTTTCCTATTTATACGTTTGATTTGTTTTGTGTTTGCTTAGTTAGTTTTTGATTTCGATCTAAACGCTTTTTTCTACTTAAGAATTCTCAATATACCAAAATAATATGTTTGCATTCATTTTGCTTACATGTATCTTCTTATGTTTACTGGGTCTTTATCTAGTCCATATTCGACGAAGTTACTCATTTTTCAAACAGTTTGGCATCAATGGACCACCGCCAATGTTTATACTTGGCAATTTTCTTGATTTTGTTCGTACAAAACGAATATCAGTATGCATTCAAAATTGGACAGCTCAATATGGTAATATATACGGTTATTTTGAAGGTCATACACCAATACTTGTAGTATCTGATCCAGATATTTTACATGAAATATTTATCAAGCATTTTTCAAAATTTCATTCACGTCGTCAATTTCCATTAGAAGATCGTCGTATGCACAAAGGTGTTCATTTATTTAGTGCAACCGGTAATCAATGGCGACGTCAACGAGCTATTATCAATCCATCATTTTCAATACTTAAAATGAAACGAATGTTACCGATAATAGACGATTCCATGGCAACGTTAATAATGAAAATAGAAGGATGTATAAAGACATCATCTGAAGGCTTTGATATTTATAAACTATATAAGAGTCTTACAATGGATCTCATTTGGCGATGCTGTTTTGGTATGAAAACTAACATGCAAAATAATCCAAATGATCCATATTTAAAAAGATCTCAAGAAGTATTTGCTAGAGAAAATAGCGCATACCTAGCAACACTGCTAGCTATATTTGTACCGGAATTACAACCGACTTGGCTTGCATGTCATTGTTGGTTAAACTATATCAAAGCTAACTTACGTCGTTTATTGCCAATGGGCGAAAGATTAATTGAAGATGATCCGAATGAATGGCTCAAAGATAATGTCGAGTGTTTTATTAGACAAGCATATCTATCTCATAATCATAATCATAATATTAATGATTGTAATGGTAATATTACTAAATCAACGGATTTAATCCATTTAATGCTTGACGCAACAGAAAAGAATTCGACTGTTACGGATCAGGTAAATAATTTATAGATAAGCAAAAGGCAAACGTTAATAATTTTGAACAACAAGTGGTTGTTTTTGCTTTTACGTTCTCTTAACTTTTAAATCATCTTTTAAACATGCTATTTTATCTTTGATAATTCTAGGATGATAGTAATGAAAGAGTGTTATCATTAAATGAAGTCAAACAAAATATTTATTTATTTATGGTTGCTGGCTATGAAACAGTGAGTACAGCTCTAGCTTACGTTACTCATATGTTGGCTACACATGTAGGCGAGCAAAAAAAAATGCAAAATCATATTGATTCATTTTTAAAAGTTTATGGCATTCTTGATCATGAAATTATCAACAAAATGGAATATCTTGATTGGTTTATTCGAGAAACTTTACGAATGTATCCAATAACCCCTATTATTATTAATCGGGAATGTGCAGAACAAATCGATTTGCCTGGTATCGGTCGTATTTCGCCAGGCACTAAGATTACACTTGATATGTATAGTTTACATTATAATAATGATTTGTGGGGACCAGTGGATACGAAACAATTTTATCCAGAAAGATTTGCAACTAAACGTCATCCTATGGCATGGGTAGCATTTGGCGCTGGTCCTCGCAATTGTATAGGCATGCAATTTGCTCTTACAGAAATAAAAATTGCAATAATACGTCTTTTACAAAACTATACTGTATTACCAGCAATAATGAATGATAATGATTTGGATCTAGTTGAACTAGTAACAATTTCACCAAAACAAGTGCGTGTGAGATTAGAACAACGAGCAGATAAATGATGGTATTTTCAAAGAAAAATATTCCGTGATATACTTTTTTTAAATTAAAATAAGAAACATCATCATTGTCAATCACATTGACGTTAAGTGACATGAGCATATTTACAAATAAAATTCTCTCAATTATAAATGTTCATTTTATTTTAGTTATTTTTGGTTTTGTCTTTTTGTTGCTATTGTAATGCGAATCGTAAGATTTAAAAGTACTGAAAGTTCTTTCTATATAAAACATCTATCATTTATCTTAGTGATGCGCTCCAGCATAAAATTATTTTATTCTATTAAAACATATCTTAACATATATATTTTATGAATTGAAATAAAATTGGATAATACTTATTTTTCCTATTATATTATATGATTTACGATAACTATTATTTCTATTGTAAAATGTCACAACAATAGTTTCTAGACGTACATATCAACACCATGAGAATGAAACATTGTGTCTATTTATATCTAACGTAGGAGTTTTTTACAGATTAAGTCAAATACTTTTATCTATCTTTCTGAAGCAAATATCATGTTTAATGAAATTTATATTGTCATAAGTTATTGAATAGGATATTTCATAGAAACATTTCAGCAACTAAATAAATATGAATAATTAATCTTTTTCCCTCTTAATAAATGAAACTTGAAAATTATTATCATTTCTTTTTAGTCTATCATTAGTAGATTATGAAATAAATTTCTGTTTGTTACTTAACATATAACTATGAACAAAAGAATAGAATGTATTCGAAATCACATTGTGTATTGTAGTGCAAAAGTTGATAAACTAATGACTTGAAAAAATGAACATATTGACTTGAACTTGAATAAAAAGGTTTTTTTTCACAAAATATTTCAAAGAGAATTACATTGCTTGATCTCCTGGGAGTAAGACACGGTTGGTAGCTAAAGTCATGCTTTCGATTCTATTTGAGAATTAAATTGATTCGATTCGTGTGCCAATCATCTCTTTCAAATTATGAATGTTCCTTTCTGAATTTGATTGATAAGGGGGGGAAAAGAAGTCTATGTCAACTATATATAGATTGTTGATGAATTTTTCTGAATAATCAATATAACATCAAAATAATATTTATTTGTATAGAATTCAAAAAGAAATTATTTATCACATTTCGACATAAAAAAGATTTTGATCATTTATGACATATGATTGTTAATTCAAACAGAATTTAGCTTTGTACTTAGACATTGAATATTATGAATGTGAGAGACAAAATAATTTCTTTTTATCATTCTAATGATTTTTTTAGAATGATAAATGAATATTCTCTGGAGAATGATCTCATGGAAGATAAGAAATCTTTCGATGTGTCAATCAATCTTAATTCTTCATCTAGCATTATTTTTATTTCTAATTGCAAAGAAATAAAGTAATACAACGAACGAATACTACTGTCTTTCTTTCATTCACTTGATGCGAAATGATTCTTTCTACTAACATTTTCTTTTCGTTCAAACAATGTGTTATTTGTTTACACTTATCACATTAAGAAATTTCAAAAGAATATAGTCCTGCTTACGTGTGTGTAAATAAGCCTATCTAATAAACAGACATCGTCACGTGTTTTCACTCTGGATTAAGTTGTACAGATAAACAGGATGTGTACTATCGGGCACGAAGAAAGAGAATGATACGAAAAGCACTGATCATATAGCTAGCTTAAATATTCACATGTACATTCGACTTCTTCGCTTCTTAGCCGAGCCATTATTTTCTTCGCCTTCTTCTTTCAATTGTAGCCGCGAACATTCTGCGTCTGTCATCATTCGTATGTAATGAATAATGATCAGTAGTATATTACTGACCATCCTGACGAGAGACAATAATCATTATACTACTACTACTAGTTGGTTTATTTATCTTTTCAACGTCTATTGTTATGAACAAAAGAAAATTCTAATCATTTTATTTTAAATATATTTCTATAGGAATATTTTAGAGCATAATATTCAATGTCAACTTCATCTTCACCACCATCAACTACTAGACCCAATGATTATTTTGATCTACCAGAAGAAGCCCGAGCCGACGATCAATATGTAGTCGAAAAAGTAGTGGCTAAACGACGAAATCGAAAAGGAAAATGGGAATATCTACTTAAATGGGCTGGATGTAAGTTTTGTTTTTATTTTTGTCTAATATTTTTATCGTATTTCATGACCTGATAGATAAGATATCTACAAATCAACGATCTTTATAGGATTTAGGAATTTAATTAGAAGTTATAATACATATGTAATCGAATAATTGATTGTGAAATTTGAGTTATAGATTTTTCGATTATTAATCGGTTGTATAGAAAGAATGCATTATTATTTTAACTCATTTTTTACTTGATTAATAAATTGTCTATGAAAAACATAATTGCATCACTTCTATTAAACACAGGAAACATCAACCTTAGTTCTTTCACACGTACACTTTTTTTTTTCTTTATCTATGTCTATATCAAACAATATGACGATGATGAATGATACTTAAAATAGCGGAAGTTATCCATCAACGGCTAAAAATCATATTAGTTGTTATAAATTATCAAATTTCCAACAATGAATGCAACTTTTAACATAATGTATTGTTTCTTTCTTTTAGTTGGTGATGAAGACAACACCTGGGAAGTTCAACAAGACATTCATCCTGATTTAATTGCTGAATTTGAACGAAAAAAAACTGAACTAGATGCCGCAAATGCAATTTATTCAGCATTAAGTGAAGATCCACCAATTAAAACACGTACATCATCAGTAAGCCGTGCAGAATCGCCACCAGCTAAAAAGAAACGAAAAACTGCAAGTACTGTTGATTCAACAAAACCGATGACACCGACAACGAAAACAACTGCAACAACAACAACAACAACAACAACAGTAACCGCAACAACGAATGAAACACCGAAAAAAGTTTTTGGTGTAGAAAAAGGTTGGCGCGTACGAGCGGTTATTGGAGCAGCGAAACAAAAAGATTCGACCGTCTTATATGCTGTTGATTATGTGCAAGGTTCACCATCATTGCGTGAATATGTTCCTTCGCATATAGCTCATACTCATATACCACGAGAACTGATAGAATTTTTTCAGAAAAAAATTGTTTGGAATTCATCAAAAGAAAGTAAGAAAACTTAAGTGTGTGAACTAGCATTTGTAAATGTATACATATTGTTTTCATTTTTTTTTTGTTCATATCATGATGTGATTTCGTGGATTATATATATATATATTTCTTTTTTTTTTCTTTTTTGCCTATTGTACTTTTTGTTGCTTATGATTAAATTAAGATTTACATATAAATTATATAGGCAGGTATGATGAACAGCGAACTCTAGAGAATTATTTTTCATTGGATAATCAAAGTTTACCAATCAAATAAAACGACGAAGTCTGCGTGCACGTGCTTTCGGGTGCATATTTATTTTATGTGCCGATATAAAGCTGCTTACATTGTGAAATATGCATTGTATTTTTTTTTATGTATATCTTACCATATGGCTTTTATTCTGTATGAAGTATTAAAGAAACGAAAAATAGTTTTAGATTAGTTGACGAATCAAAGGCTTACAACGATGAGTAGCACTGAAGGTATTCCTATACGTCGACTTGTTGTACATGATCCCAAAGATATGCCACTTCATTTCGGTGAAACACCTGGTGGCAGTATTTTCTCGACAACTCCAGGAGGTATATTACCTTTTATTTATTTTTATTGAAATGTTTTTAAGCAATATTGCTTACTTAGGCACTCGAATCTATTATGATCGAGCCTTTTTACTTTCTCGTCGTGATTCACCGATGACACGTTCACCACCTCATTTGCCATATATTCCGGAAGGTACGTATCATTTGTATCTGAAGAAGATAAATTACTCAAGGTTAAAGCTATACAAGGACATAGCAAAGTTCAGAAATATACGAGGCTAGATATGGCTGATATATCGATAGCATTGAATACATATTAATAGTTGTCTATGTCTTTTTTTGTTTGTCCTTAGTTACTTTAATTCCTGAACCGGAAAAGAATGGTGAAGTTGTTGAAAATGGTGTAACAACGGGTAAAAAAGAAAAATCTGAATCATCGACTGATAAGACGAATTTATCAACATCGGAACAACAACAAACAACAAAAGCTGTTAAAAAGGGTAAGCAAACTTCAAATTATTATATTTACAGTTAACGGGAAAATGTGATTCTTTTATAGATGGTGATGATCAATTTTCAATGGATATGTGATCTTCCTTTTTTTGTTAGTTGTATCATAATAGAATATCAAATATGAAACAATCGATAACAGAAATGTGAACTGATATGACTACCATGTTTTTTTTCCTGATGTCATCCAAATGTTTTGGATACAGAACAGTCCCTTTTCTTTTCCGTTGGTTCATCTAATCATGTTTTTTTTGCTCCGGTGTGCCTATTTTTGTTCTACATTCGAAGCAGTTTGGATGGGTGTTATTAGATTAGTCCTCTGTTTTTTATTGTTTGTCTATATATATGTTCTCTCTGTTCACGAACTTGTCTTCGTCTGCTACACATACAAAAGTTCGTCTTGCTCAAAACAGGAAATCGAGAAGTATATCATATGTGTTGTCATCATTGTTGGTATGTTGCGCTTTTGCTAGTCTCTTGAAGAAAATTAACCGTTTTTGTTCGTTCTGTTTTTCATTATGTGACCAAAAAAAAGAAATAAATGAAAAAAAAAGGTTGACTGTGTGATAGCCAATCGGCTAACATTTGTGGAGTTCGAAATTTAATAATTTTACTTGCGAAAGTAATCAACACGTATCAATGCCAAGTCTACAGATTTTAAGAAATGGAAGAATATTAAGTTCTGATTATAATGTATTATGAATATTTCAAAATGTCTAACAAGCATACTTTTGATTATTAATAGAACAATCTGTTGTCTGTAAAGTTGCTTAGGTCAATTTGCTATGAAGTTTCATCTATTTTAATAATATGGTAGGAATGAAAATTATTTTTCGTCCTAGGTGAAAAGAACTTACAATAACCTGATTTTGAGGCTAATCTTTTCTGTATGTTACATGTCATATGATTTTTTTTCGTGAATTCTTGAACTAAGACTTTGAAATTACTTTTTACAACAAAGTCTTATAAGATTATTTCATAAGATAAAAACCGATCTCTATGCACACAATTATACATGCGCAATAGAATAATAAACTCAACGAATGTAATTGTTCATTATTTTCCTGAAATTTATTATCGAGTATTCGTTTTAGTCAGCTCAATAAATATGAACCCAAAAATCGCATTATCATGGGAGAACTCTAGGTTAAAAGTGATTTAAAATAAGCAAAAAATACACAGAAAAAAGTTCTTCTTGTTTTTTTTTCTAGATTGACACATAGCTACTAACCTTCAACCATTGATATTTATATCTTGTGATAAGATAGAAGCAAAGAATAAATGATTGCATCAGTCTATTTTACTATGAAACGTTGTTATTTTGTTTATTGTAGGCAGTAAAATCATGACTAATACGGTTCTTGACTACAAACGTAGCTTATGATTTCGTTTATAGTATCACGTGATTGCACTCTAACATAACATGTTGATCAAGTGCTAGTTTTTATTCAAGGTTGAGTACGTATTGTTTATTTTTCCTCGGGGCATGATAAGTATCGTACACATCAATTACGTCGTTGCCTTGTTCTCAAATAAGAGAAAGAAATATTTTCAGTGCATGAGTTGAATGATGAATAGAATTACCAATTATATTGTTCATCGTAGAAGAGATTGATTATTGGCAGAAGATTTGCTTTCTAAAAGGGAAATTATATGTATTCAACAGTTAGAAGAATCATGAATAACTAGTTAAACTAAATAAATTATATCTCGAAGCTGATTGTCGCTATATGCAAGTGTGATATTTAGCAACGTCAATATTTTCGATTTATTCTTTATTAATTATTATAAAGAAAAATCTCTGAACTAGCGGATAGCTAGATTTCTTTTGGTAACAGTATCAGCAAAACAAAAAGATGAAAGCAATTCTTTTTTGATTACTTCGTACGAATGTCAATCAATCAGACCTCATTTAAATAGCGTTTTGAAACGAAAATTTCCAAAAATTCAGTTGTCGCAGTTTTCAAATCATCGAATCAGATGTAAAAAAAAATAACTTTAAAGATCACAAAATTTTGAATAAATTAACAGCTCATGGAGATTTGTCAACATTTTTATAAATAGTTATAAGCAAGACAAACGATTTGTCATAATATTTTTAAAAGAAGGGCAAACAAACATATTGACTTGATATTTTATTCGAGATTTTGTTTTTAACAGCTTTCCGCAAACGTATTTTTTTCACGGGCTTCGATGACCTGATCACTACTCGTGTTTGTGTATTTAGAAGTATTCTAGCCATAGATCATCTATGAAATTTTAGGAAACAATGCACATGATCAAGTTCCTCGTCGAGAATTCAAACCAATATTTACATATGTGTGAGATTTTCGAAGAGTACTTTAACTGAAAGGTAGAGTCTTGTTCTAGTTGTTCGTTCTAACATTAGAAATTTCTTTTTCTTTGCGATAGTTTCTGTTGTGCTCGTTCTCAAAGTTTTCATAAGTCAGTTTTAAAAAAAAACATCACCGATAAATGAAAATTCAGATATTAATCTTTGAATAGCTGCATGAATAGTTCATAGTGAATAGTTAGCTAAAATAATTATATTATTAGTCAAAATAACAGTAACAGAATGTACTAAAGGGACATATTATTATTCTACATGAACCGTGTGAAATCGTTAGACCTTAGTATATTGCTATTAATAAATATCGGCTTGTCCACGTAACTCGCTACTTCGCTGATCAAGTTTTTAAAAAATTTATTTTCGATATGGACATATCTAAGCGTATTATCTGGTGCACTTTTTTACGCTGATTATGAATTTGAACTTTTTTTCTTAAAAAAGATTGAGTTTTGGCATCGAAAACCGCGTTTTAAAGTTTTCAGAAATTGTATTTTCAATTTTCTAACCAAGAAATTTAAAACAAAAATGCAGACTGATATACCATTCGACGCAGAATTTGATTCTCTACAAAATGGTCTATTTAGTTTTTATTCTCATTCCTCAGGACAACTTCTAAGCTCTTATACAGTTTCTAACTTGCTGTACAATTATTGGGCTCCTATTTCAACGTAGCAACTTGACCTTTTTACAGAAGGATATATGTATGGCAGTGATCAATATATATAAATATTAAATATTTTAAAGCATGTTAAGTGCTTCGAATTCGGTCGACAAAAAAACGTGTCACAGCGTTACGTTTGTTTTTTGCATTTTTTATCTGAGCGAAAATAGTTTAGAAAAAATATTTTTTACTGATTGAAAGCCCATTCAATTCTCTACAAAACTGGTATCATAAGCATTCAATTTGAAGAACTAATTTGTCAAAAATGTAGAGCATTATAAGCAGCCCTAGAAAAAAAGGTCCTTTTTTTGTCACAGTGTTACGCGATGATAAAACCTTTCTAGAAATGCGAGAGTTCAGTCAAACTAGGTCATTCTTTCAGCATAAATAGATTATGATAAGCTGCGTCGAATGACGTTTGAACGATGTTATTAGCTCTTATGCCTTCGAGATAATTGAAAAATGATCTGTCAAAATGTCACAGCGTTACGTTTGGACAAGCCGATATAATATATATATATATATATATATGTGGCAGGTGAATTTGGAATTTAGTTGAGTTTAGAATCTTTTTTTTTTAATTTTTTTTAATAGAATTTTTGTTGAGATCTGACTTTAGAAATTTTTATACTGAGAATTATTCCTTGCATCTTTTTACAATGAATTTTTAAATAATTCAACTCTTTTCAATTTTTTAAACTATGGGGATATGGGGACATCGATTTTATCGGAGAAATACTTCTTCTCTATTCTGTTTTTCTATAATCTATTATCACGAGCAGAAAAAAAGAAAAATATATTTTGTCGATTAATTCTTTTTTTCGCGCATTCCTATCTCAACTGAAATTTTCATGTCAACTGTGACATATATATATATATATGTCATAAATTATTCTATTTTGAATTCATGTTTGATAATGTATAAGATTGTTATAAATTGAAAATGTGTCACAGAAGATTTGATTAATAATTGAATTTTGTTCATTTTCAATAAGATTCAAGCGGCACCCAAATATGATTAAGTATAAATAATTACTTAGTTTCTTGGAAGCATAACTCAGAAAAGAGTGGGCTATTTAATAAAATATATTCAATTATATGACAGTTTTTGAATAAAATATTAAACATATCTTTTTTAGAAAAATTTCAAAACTCTCGAGACTAATTCTTGGAATACTTGAAACAATTTTCCATTATATTTCAATATATTTGTATTTACGAAACTTGTAAGCAATGAAAGACAAAGTCGAAAAAAAACAATAATCAGTGAAAAAGTATACTTGATATCTACGTCATTACATAGAAGACTAAAATAGTCTTATCATTCATATTTTTCCCGTTTGTTACTAGACGTAATTTGATCATGGAATAAAAGTAAAATGTAAATACTATATACTGTTAAAAAAGACCGAATGTTTCATTTAAGCCATCGTTGTTTTCCATTATTCATTATCATTCGCCGTTGATTGAACAAACATGTACGTTCACATTCCAAACGAGTATTGAAACGATTTTGATTATCACCACAACCACCCCAGATGAAAGTTTGGCATGAATTCAATTGAGTATTAAAATAATATTGTTCAATGTGTGCTTTACAAGGACCAATATCAGGAGCCTGTCGACAGATATACATGTTATTTGCTAGGGGTGCTCTAGTCGTAAATGTTCCAGCATTTCCTGAATAAATCAAAATTAATTTTAGAAAGTATTAGATCACAATCGAAAAATATACCAACCTGGAAAAGGCGAAAGACTAATTCTTTTCATGAATATATTAATGGGATTGATTGGTGTTGGTGTCAATTGTACTGGAGTATATTGATCATTAGTATAGAGTAATTGGCCATCTTTTTCAATGCGCGCTTGAATAGCATATTGACGAACACTGTTACTATTTGCTTGTACTTGTGCCATCGAATATGGAATTTCAAAAGCTATCGGAAAACGATAAGATCCATATAATACAAGAGTATTTAAAGGTCGCGATGCCACATCTTGTAGAGAAACATCTGTCAACGATACAATTATTTGCGAACCAAGTGGTAGCACAGATGCATCATCGCTAACAAGACTTCCACGAACTCTTCCTTGATCTAAACCAGAGTTCATACAAGAGCATAGATCAAGAAGTTAATATTAATATAAACTTACTTTGCTGTTGAACTTGATTTCCACTTGGATAGTTTTGAGGAGGATAAAATGGTCTTGGATTATAATTGTTGTACAACAATGGCTGTTGTTGATAGGATTGTGCTTTAACACATGATAAAAGTGCAAGTATAAGAATAGAAAACATTTTTTACGCGATGTATACGATAATCGATTTGAGAAATAATGCCAATGAGTAGCAGTTAAGGTTGGCTTTTATATTATATCAGTATTATCAATCTTTTTTTTTTTAAATGTCATGATCTATTCTCCTACGCTTCTTTTCTATGCGTAGGAAAAAATCGAAGACGAAGAAGAGAAAACAAAGTATATCGACTTTCATACGAAATTGATGACCGATATAAGTATTGTTCTTTGTGCTCGATATGAAAATCGACACATGTTGTTGTCTATTCGCATGTGATAACGGCCATCAAATCGTGTTACAAGAAGTGCAAAAAAAGCATGACTTTCTTGAAACTCTAAAGACGCCATTTGATAACGTTATGTAGGCGGTTTAGAATAATCCTTGTGGATTCAATGAATAGATTAATCTTTCTTTTCTTTTTTAAATCAGTTAAATTGTGACAAACCCACAAGATTTTTATTTTTTTTATTTTTCTGAAAATTATTCATTGAAGATTAAATTTTATTTTATTCGAACACAATTCTATTGATCATTTTCTACAACATGTTGCTCATCTATTCAATTCATTATTCTTCAACAACTGCTTGTTAATCTTATTGTATTCTCAGTAGCATACAGACATGAAAACTACTTTCATCTATATCTAAAATATCATCTTGAGTTATTTGGATGGAATCTGACCTATAAAGCAGATTTTTTTGCGTATTTTGTTTTTATTCAACACAGATTTGCTCACAAGTCAAATATCATTACGTTGGGAAAGTCAATCCTATGCCGATCTATGTATATTTAGTCAAAATAAAACATTCTTGTTGACACAATTATCGTTCGTTCCATATTACAATCAATGAGTAAAATACACATAAAAACTAGAAGTTCAAATAGTATTCTTGTAATTTTTACTATTACATTATAGAATAGCTTAATTATTTATATGCATTATATATATATATATATATGTACGAGTGTATGATGATAATAAAAGTTAGCAATCGATCACCAACAATAAACGTACCATGATTGAAGATGAAGATCACAAGGAAAACAAAAAAACAAAACTTGATTATTTAGATAAAAAGAACAGTTTTGACGAAGAAACTAAATGCAACTATTGAACCGAGTACAAGGCCAATAATAAATGTAATAAGTGACCATCGAATGGCTTTTTTATAGAATGTTGTTGCTTCAGCAAAAAATCCTTGACTGTGTGCTCGTACAGCACGAACTGCATAAGCAACAGCAATAATTCCTGAATAAAAAGGAACGCATAATTCTAGATAACATATGTCATTCGCTCGAGTGAATGTTTTGTTTAATGTTCAATAAGTCACTCACCCAGAATGGGGCAACATGCGGACGAAATAAGTGCACAAGCTAAACTTCGTTTGGGGTGGGTTTCATCTTCTACTTCATCAATTCGATATCGATCTAGATGTTAAAGATAAAAACGACACGCAACTATAAATTCGAATCATCAATATTTATAATAACCTGTTATATCGTTATCAATTTGTCTTGTACTTGTAAATTTTGCAGATGCAGTACATCTATGGCCACTTGCTGATGTAAATGCACGAGAACCAAACATTTTATCGGATAAATAAAAGTTTGTAAACAAATGACTGTTTTTAGACTAAAACACAAAGAATCTAACGTGAATGAAATATCCGGATATAATGCTGAAAAGTCCTATAGGGTATATAGGCTTTTGCAAGAGTTAGAGAGCGAGAGAGTATGTGTGTAGTGGGACACTGACATAGATGCATAATCTTTCTCTCTAATCAGCCAAGCAGTGAAGATGATGAAAGGCATGGAACAAAAAAAAGAAGAAAAGAAATATGAGAAGAGAAAAAGCAGCTTGTATTGTCCGGAAGGACTTAAACAGAATCATCACTCCTACATGTTTTGTACTATATGTCACTAGAGATTTTTACAGAAACAAAACACCATTTTATTGACTAATCCACGCTACTACTAATAATTATCATGATGATGTTCTTTTTTTCGCCCTGGTTTTTTTTACTAATATAATATATTTATCATAAATAATAATTATCAATCGCTGTCAACTGCAGATTAATCAAGAATAATTTAAACAAACAAAGTAAGATTGTCTTACTTCCGATTACGGTAAATTTCAAACGTTAGAATAAATAGAGAGTCAGTAAGGAAAAAAGAACAAAATGTCTATTCAATTAGTTTCATGACATTATGACATCGAAGAACTTGGATGACGTCAATAATAATGATATGCATCTAAAATATATACCGGAGGGGTGTAGAATATTCACTTGTCACAGGACTCATTTTACATAATGTCGATCTGAAAACATTTTCGCAAATGTAATCACTGACAGTATCAGGTCTTGAAGAGTACATATTTATAGTTGCGAGATAGATTACACATGTTGTAGATGTTTGACTGTTTGCATTAGTTTTCTTCTCTACTACACGTCAAACACATCGATAAATGATGATTAAAAACGCCTTAGGTGATGAATGTATATATATATATATATATAGAGAGAGAGAGAGAAAGAGAGACTAGCATATTGGTTATTCATCGTTGTCGTGCTGTAAAGAAAAAAGTCCTAATAAAAAACAACAATCTTATTAGACGCACAAGATAGACAAATAGATAAGGGACGATAGCGATTAATTAAGCCTAGTCTAATGATAGACTGGTGTCGATTTTTTTGATAAATGACATAGTAAACTATGGGTGGAGAATTACTAACTATACAAATTCTTCGTATTGCAGTTTACGTTGCAACACATAGCTTCTACGAGAAGACGAAAGGAAGCATAGATGATGAAAGAAGAATGTTTCATTACATTTTCTTCTCTGGTGTGTGTCATTTATTTAACGTTTACAACCAGAATTCCAGCATGAATGTATTCTAACTTTTCTGTTCTCATTTATTATTTCATCTGTTTCTTTAATTGAATAATTATCATTCATATACTTCCTGTATAAATTCACATCATTTTCGTTTTATTCGAATAAGTACAAAGAAACAACAACAGCAGCAACAACAAAATCTTTTCAAAAGACACAAATACAGAAAGAAAACATTCTTATAGATCAAATATTATCATACAATTGAACTATTCTTGTGTAAGTTGTTGATAGAATTTTAAAGATCGATCCACACTTGAACTTGCCAAATAGTTAGCATTTGAACCAAACCGAATGCCAGTTGCTATGGCTGTATGATCGTTAAATACTTTAAGTAAATCCCATTGTTTGGCTTGATATACTCTAGAAAGAGAAAAAGAGAAACCATTGAATAGATTATTATAGATTATCAATGTCGAAACACTTACCGGACATCAGTACCAGCTACTCCGAGATACATGCCACTTTGATCAAAAACAAGATCACGTATCTAAAATAGAAAATAACATTGAAAAAAATAGCAATGCAAATAATCGACTTATGAATAATCTTACTTCATAGCGATCTTCAAGTGTAATAGTCTTAAAATTTTTTAATTTACGTAAATCCCATAATTTTATTGATGCATCATCGGCAGCTGTTGCTAAGTAATATCCTTCAAAAAAAATTAATTCATGACAGAATGCTATGTCCTATAAAACTAATATATGTTGTTTTTACCATTCTCAGAAAATGCAATCGAATTTATGCTTCCAGAGTGACCGGGAAAATCAGCAACATTATTAGATTCCTTCAAATCCCAAATTTTAATCACACCTTCTTGTGTACCAACACCAAATATAATACCATCAGGATGAAATTGAGCGCATGTTAATCCTAAGTAATAAAAGATTTCATAATCCTTACAAAATGTTTTTTTAATGATGAAAATGAGTGTATCGAGTTACTTGTAAATAATTCTTTTGAAGCGAAACTGGGAAAAGTAGATAAAAAAAAGAACAGGAAAATCTCTAACGGTTGTAATTTGTCAAAAGTCTTAAACTTCGGTAAATTGATGGATGGTTTAAAAAATAAGTCCTTTGAAAGTTGAGAAAAAAAAACAACATTTTCTCTAAATTTAATCTCGAAGTAACTAAAGGTCGAACCATAAAAAGATAATAATAACAATACGCTAGAACGAAGCTTCGATGAAAATTTGTTCCCCAGTATCAATAATATCACTCAATGGAGATTTTGAATTTAAATCTATAATGATACCATTTTTCGTTGTCATATCTAACAAGATCCATTTTCTAACAATCAAGGAAGTATTACTTAAAAATCCATGTGTTATTTCCCTCTTCAACGATATAAGCAATACAATCAAAAATCTTAGTTAAATAAATATGCAGGTTATCAAAATTGAATACTCTTGCATTTCTATAAGTTTCCCTGGTCTCTTTTAACCTACTTTATTTTGTAGATGTTGACACAGAAGCATTCATTATCGGCAACTCAATCGAGACAAGCGTTCTCATGGAAGTTTCGATTATTAGCGATATCAAGTATTCAATAAAATTTCCATGCATACCTCTTTTCGATGTTGCATCTTGAACTTTTGTTATTAATTTACCAGTACGTAAATCTGACAAAGCCCAATATGCATCACTTGAACTTGATAAAACATAATCGCCTGTTGGATGGAGTGAAAGACCTGCTATAGGACTTTCATGAGCTTTAAGTACTTTTAAACATTGCGCTGATGGAATATGCCATACGCGAATGCTTGCGTCGGAACTTGCTGTGATAGCAATATCCTATACGAAAATAAAACGATTTTGGTTTCGATGAAAATAATTTTTCTAAAATCATATTTTATACTTCTTCAAAGTGATGAATGACATGTGTAACTTTTTTCTGATGCCCTTTAAGTGTTGCAACAACTTGTTCGCTATCTTTATTGAATACAACAGCTTGACGATCGTTGCCACCAGTTAGGACTATACTGGGATTTTTCGGCGATACATCAAGTGCTAATATACCTGGGCTGCTAGCACTATGCAATGCCTGTAGAAAGAATAAAATGATAGAAACGGTAAAAGAAAAAGAAAAAAATTCACGAACTGTATGAGTTGCTGAACAACGAAAGTTTCTCATTTCATCGACAGTAGTTAAACCTTCAGGTACATGTTTACCACGTTGTTTACGTAGTTGTGTTAGAATTGATGCTTTATCGTGTAACTGATAAGATTAATTATTTAATATGTGTAATTGAATATCTAATGAAAAAAATACTTTTTGTATTATTTCATCAGTCATGCCTTCAGCAATTGTTAATGATGTTTGAGAAACATCAGCTATAGCTCCTTGATGTGGTGTTTGCATTGATTGTTCATTGACGTAATGCTAAAAATGTTCAATCGTGTATTCAAAACAAAATCAAATTCTATGCAATTAAGTTTTTGAACAAAATGAATTCAATTGTCAAAATATTCTTATTTACGAAAACTTTGTTTTCCCTTAACTTACTGATGTTTGAGCAATGCCAGCTTGTGGTTTGAGCGTAGCTAAAGCTTCTCGTGCAGCTGTTACTTCTTTGTTTAAACGGGCTATAACACGACAAGCAGCATCGTGTTGATACATCACATGCGAAAGTTCTATGAAAGAAAAAAATATTAAAACTGTATAAATTATTTCAAGATTTTTTTTTGTTTTTTGACAATGAACCTTGTCTTGCTGTTTGTAATTGTTGACGTAGGGTGAAACTATGAAGCATACAACCATCCCATTCATCTTGTAATGTTTTGAGTATAGCTGGAATACTTGTTGCTGATGGCGGTTTTGGTTTACCAAGTGGTGTGACTAAAGCAAAAGAATTACAAATTTCGGTAATTTCTCTGAATTTAAAAACTCGAATAGATAACATTCTCAAGCCCAAAAATAGTTGACGATTTATTTATTTAACTCGTATAACGCTATAGACAGCGCATGCTTTATTTTTAGCTTTTAAAATTACTGATTCAATTTTTAGTAGTATGAGATAAAAGTTCGAACGTTTCTGGATTTATTTCACATGGTGAACTGCATCTATTGACAAATTTCTTTTTGTGAAGATCAATCATCCGAGGCATTCAAACTAGAACTTTTCATTCTCTGATTATGAAAATCTCATTGTATTCTAATAGTATGCTTTTGTTTTTGTATAATCGTAGTTTATCATGAGAAAGTATAAATAAATTTTAGAAAACTGTAAAATAATCTGAAAATAACTTCCGATAGAAGTCTTATAGCGTCAAGAGAAAAAAGATGCTATAGAGCAATACCCATTTCATCAATAACTAGATGGTATTCGAGTTTCACTCGAGTACGAAATGCGGTGCGAAGCACACGAGCCGAATTTTCGAAAGTAGCGAGAATAAGATTTAAAAATAAATGATTCACTTTAAGATTCATTACAAACGTTTATTTTTTTTTAATTTCCGTATACGAATTTTGAATAAAAATTTCGCATTCACTATTCTTAAATCGACCATTTTGAAATT